TCAAGGGATATGGGTGCAGGTACATGATGATCAGCAAGTTCCTTGATGTCAGATAATGATGAAGAATGAAGAGATGCTGCAGTTGGGAGACGTATACGATGATGAGTCGGGGTCGAAACCGAGTTAGTAGACGGGTCAGGGTTCTCGACAGATATTCCAGTAGTGTTCGGGGACAAGGGAGTTGCTACTATGTGTGGTGGAAGGGATGCAGAGAAAGTATGACGTTTGACATAAGTTGAAGTGCGTTGCAAACTGGAATCTGTGAATGAGGATGAACTAGAAATAGTAGATATGCTATCACTGTGACCCAGGCTAGAACGACTGGATGTAGTTTCGATTTGCTTTGTTGGACTGACCGACCTGCGTCCGTCAAGTACAGCCTCTACGCGTGCGCGCTCTTCCCATTTGTCGCGTACAGTGTCAAGACTGGTACCCGGTCGATGTGAAGGTGTCCATCGTCTAGTAGCAGGAACCACGGGTGGACTAGAACCAGTTGTATTTGGGCTCACGAGGGATGTTGGGCGCGATGAGATGGACGAATTTCGCGAAAGAGAATTCGTTGATGAACGAGAGGCAGTACGCTGGAGCAGACGAGTCTGGTACGCGAAAGCATCTCGTTGCTTGGACGGCGACGACGGAGGAGTATTGGTGGTCGACGGAGGAGTATCGGTGGTCGACGGTAGCATATTTGGTTTGTCCATGTCGTGTCAGAGATCATAAAGTCGTCAGTACAACGCGCCGCTCCAGCCTAGTAGTAGCAGGTCACTGCCGACCCAAGAATAGCTGATGTAATGAACATGATCTTCACAACTGGTTCAAACCTTCTTTCTTTGTACTGTTACATGCATACAGGTACTTGTTATATATGTGCTAGTATACCGGGTAGCTTTTAGGACTACTAGTAGCATGACACCTGACGAGCTTTAACCACAAATCCACTGGCAATCATGATAGTCCGACTAGATATCTTGCCGCCTAAGCAAGTCGACGATCTGTATCATATTAAAGCTACTAGAGTGTGGCACCTCGCCGGTTGCCTAACTCATGGCCAGGATAGTTGGCGGTCAGGCGCGGCATGCCTTGTGATACGCGTCCAATGTCTGAAGATTTATCTATGACGACTCGGAGGTTTAATTAAACACCAGTGCATGATCTTGTCGAATAATTTCTCATATGACTTTTAGCCTTTCGCTGTTTTTATAAAGTTGAATTCTGAGTCGAGCCTACCAATTAATTAATCGACCAATGCACCACTGTTTCGCTGAAACTTTCGATTGGCACTAATACTGTATAGATACCCGGATAGGTCTGCGTAGGAAAAAATACACTAGTTCTGCCAGGATGACAGACACGTCATGGTATAGTAGCTATAGGACGATGTCATCCGGTGCCTCTGAAAAGCTCTGAAAGGGTTTAAAAGGGACAAACAAATTAACGAGCCAAAGAACTCTTCGCGCGGATACGTTCGCCAGCGAAATATACCCACACGGGGAAGGGTATACCAATGATGATGGCAAAACCTGCAAGTAGCGTATTGCCTCCGCCATAACCGAGTGCCGCGAGCATCTGTTGTCCAAACAAAGGGAATGCGAATCCAAGAAATGAACGGAAGGTCTGATATGACGTATTCAGTGAACGCAAACGACATCAGGGGTAAAGGAAGACTGACAGAAGCGGCTGCAGTAGCGCTTGCAGCATATGTAAATGTATCCACGAGATATAGTTGAATAGGGAGGCTTTAGAGAGGTCAGACATGAACAGTGCCCAAGTACGAGGCACACCCACAAACATGTCAATATTCCGAATCCAAAGATAGAGGTACCAATAATGGGCATCATGAAGTGGGCTTCAGCTTGGGCAGACCAGCCATACCAACTAATACATGTCAGACTAGGAGCAGGAACAAAGGCGTCAATCTCACAGCAGTCCCACTGGGACGAACAACGACCCGAATATCAGAGCAGGCACGCGCATCTCTGATTTACCCTTCCCTCCATTTCTCGCAGTAAGCTAAATATAGAAACCAATGGTTGAGCTGACACATTCAAGGCAGAAGGAAAACATACGTATATGTAGATCTTGTCGGAAAGTTTGGCGCCAAACACTGTGGCAACTACGAATCCAAAACCAACTCCAATATATGTCAGACCTCCGATTCCAATGCTAAAGTGGTACACGTTTGCAAAGAGGTCTGAGCGAAAGTTGTTACTAACGGTCCCCGTGGTGCCGGCCAGGTATGATCTTACCGGGGAAAGTAGTAAACAACAAGAAGTAGATACCTGACATACGATCTCAGTCCGTATCCAATATAACTGGATGTGGTACTGACCGTACATCCTAAATAGATGACATCAGTGAGCCGCGCGACACTAAATCAAACTTACAAAGCCATATACAAGCTCAGGATGAAGCATATAAAACTCCGGGTCAGTAGAATGGCCGGTCGCTTGAGACTGACCCATAGGTAAGCCCACTTCTCCATGTGATGTGCGGCGAGAACAGGATGTCCTATAGAGGTCTTTTCGGGATCTGGCGCCATGGCATCAAGACGAAGCCTGATAACCGGTGCATATGTTTCTCTCATGAGAGGGATGCCAAGTATTGCGGCAAAACCAGAGATCGCAGCAATGACATAGAAAACATACTGTACACCGGCTGACTCTGCGATGAAACCCCCCATAATGGGGCCGATAGCGGGGCCTTGTGTGAACTTCAGTCAACGTTGCACACCATAAAACAGGACAAGACTCGCCTATCATGGGTCCAATGCTGTACAGTGCCATCGCTGAGGCGCGCTCGCGTTCCAAAAAGAGATCGCTGATGACACCTGAACCACATGCTATAGGTGCACTCCCCGCCAATCCAGCTTCGTAGAGAGTGAGCAAAAGTTGAGGCTCCAGCAGTTCCATGACGTACCCAGAAACCGGAACACGATCAAGAACACAGTGTTGGTTGAGAAAGCGCAGCCGAGATTAAACGCGAGAAACAGGAGGTTTCCTAGGTGGAGCACCTTGAACTCATTCAGGCAAATGGCCTCTTCGATCAGATCAAAGAAGAGCACCACGCACCCACACACGACCATATACTTCCGATAAGGGTGCCGCAAATAGTGGACCAATGGCATACGACAGAACAAAGATACTTAGCGTCAACGCTACGACTGTTGGATTGGTTATGCCAAATTTTATAGCCAAGTCGGGTAAACCAGGTGCCATGATAGCGCTTGCTAACGGCGTGACAAGCGTGTACAGCGAGACCTAACACGATACTGACATGAGTCCCAGTGGATTGAACTCGCTAATGGAAGAACTGACGATTGTAGTGGTTATCCATTTCTTTGCGAGAGGCCAATTCCTGGGGTTCGCCAGGTCGTGTTCCCAATCATGCACTTTGTCATTTGTTTCATCCAAGGCCTCGGCAGACATGCCTTCGCTACTTGGGAGCTGAGGATAATTCGTGCCATCTTGGTGTGGTACGTGAGCAGAAGAGACGGTTCCTAGAGGAGAGTCCGACATCTACCAGCGTTGCACTGGCAGGCAGGTAAGACGACTGAAGTCAATAAAGGTGGTATTAACACATTTCAGGGGACAGAGTCTTTAAAAACAGCAGATAACATCCTGACCGAGCAGGCATTGCTATTACGCTTTAAGCTTTATTGCTGGAGGCCGCTGGGTCACGTCACTGACGGGTAAGATCTCACCCGAGGACTTTGGGGTATCTACGTACTAACAAAGGATCGTTCGAGTCGCCCCATATTACGCTCCATGATCGGCACCAGTCAGCGCTTCGAACGCTTCGAACGAGTCAAAAAATTTCCAACCAAGTCCGCGGTTTCGCCTAGTTTGTCGACCTTGCCTGCTTTGCTGCACTGTTGGCACATCAAGACCAAATATGAAGCCCAGGTAATCAGCATTGACTTGAAGCGTCTTGAAGGTTGTGGTCTGGCGCCTTGGACCGTTTGGCCATATAAAGGCTAATATTAGCAAGTTCCCTATATGATAAGTTGTTATGTAATGCACTAACCAAACTATATTTTTATCTTCGGAAATGATCAGTGCTTCGAAGTTCGCTCGCAGTCTGACCCGAGAAGCTTAACAGCCCTGACCATTACCAACATAGGTCAGCGTCCAGGTAGTATAATGAAGCTCGCCAGAAGTCTCGTGCTCACCTCTCTGCCCCATTTACACCCTCAATCTCCGCATAGCCCCGATGCGTCAATCCAATGCAGGCCCTGCTGCTTGATCAGTGTCTGCATCATTGCAATCAAGATCATCTTTTGCGTAGTATCCCTGCCGGATTATCAAAGATAGCGTGATTGACATGCGCGTCAACGATCCAGATATTAAAATGCTCAGCCTCCATGGTCAGCGTATTTAATAGACCGCTTGGTCTACACCAAAATAAATGGACGCTGAGAGTGAGTCGTCTGTATTAAAGATAATAGTTCGGCTCGGTTGCGTGACAGCGCCAGGGACAGACGTGAGCGAGCGAGTTGGCTGGTTGGACACCGTGACGGTATGGCTTGTGATGAGGGCAACATGCGCCAATGCGGTGAAGAGAAACTTGAACTCACACAACTTATTCTCGACCCGCATGAAGAGACCTCACCGGGTATAGAGGAATCTTAGTGGTCGCGTCCATTTCGAAAGGACACGGTTGACGACCAAAGCGAGAGTACAGGAATTGCGAGAGTGCACATGAAGTTCGTGGAATGCAATAGGGAACTGCAGAAGGCAAATCTGTATGCAGCGTCCTTGAAAAATTCAACCATGTCTTTAGCAGTGTGCAAACACCGGGATACCCTCTGCGTGTATAATCAGATTGGAGGTGTGTGATTATCAGGAGTGACTATATACGTCTCTCAACAATCACACTACTCAAACACGATTGGCATGACTCTGAAGAGCCTATGTAGAAACCTGGGGGAAAGTTGATGCTCGCTTAGTCAGCAAGTGGCCATGTACTTTTGCTAACATACCCGCGTGATCTAAAACTGTATACCGCGATGCGCGATGTGAGCGTGTCAATCGAGAGCCTTGTCACGTCCCTTGTCCCCCAGATTCAGTCCAATACACGTCTCAAAGAAGAACTAATAGCACACTGCAAGGATATCCTTGCAAGGTAACAACGCTCTAGCTCAGCTTGCGGCATGTCACTTACCTGCTTTGTAGTAACATTGGCACCGCACACGAGAATGACACTGGTCATTTAGCGGCACAGATAAAAAGGCATTGTATGTATCACCACAGAATCGCGTATTACTAGTCGCAACCGTGTTCTTTTCTAGTGTTACAATCTGAATCTCCGAGCAATGCATCGCTCAAGTTCACTAATCTCCTCTCGCGATTACTAGACCAAGTGAGTGTACTGATCGTGTTGGTCACGCGTCTTATCTCTGCATAGCCTATTCTTTCTCGTAAACCCGAGTCTCTCCTCTTTCTCTATTCTCTCGCATCCTCTCCACGCCAGCCAACCTCAAGTCCATTCCTCGCATCTCTCCAGGCGCCGCTTCGCCCATCCGCAACTCCTACCACTAGTCCTACTGACCTTCCGCGCTCACCACACCCAAGGGGCAATTCAAAAGCAGAAATTTTGCGTGAATATCGCGCCCGTACTGGTATGCAAATTCCATTGACACCCGCTTATAGGACGGAATGCTCAAGTCATGATGAAGGACGACACCATCTGCCCGAACACTTACTTCTTCGCGATACGTTATATCTCTTACAGGGAATTTCTGGAAAATATGTACACTTGTCGCTCTCGGACAATGATGCCCAACCCAAACTCGTTTTTATCGAAGATTTTGTAAGCAATCTCCAATGAGTGTCCTATCGCGCTCATCTTACTCACAGAAATATATCATCCCTCCCCCAACTAAATCCCTCATTCATCGCCTTTCTGAGGTAGGTCATCTCTACGCGCGCATAGCTGCGTTCGTCGACACACAAGATCGCCCTTCTGTCGGCATGATCGAGCAAAGCCTTTGCCATCACCTCCAGACGCTGCTTACTGAGTACTATCGACTCATCGCCGTTCTAGAGTCTCAGATGGGCAATGCACCCAACTCAGCTCCAGGCTCGCAATCGGATCCTGTAGGAGAGGAGACTGGCCTCACCCTCAAACGTCTCGATGTCTGGATAACAGAATGGCGTCTCCGCATGCGCATGATGAGCGTTTGTGTTGAGGGTGCCCATGACGCACAGGGAGGGGCACTCGTTAACCTCATCCATTCATACACCGACAATGGGGACCCATTCGTCAGAAAATTTACTGACCAACTTTTAGAAGAGGTGCAACATCTTTATTCGTGTTAGTTGACCGACTGCTTCATGCTAATTTAATTTCAGGTATCCACTCCCTTCTTCAATACGCTGCACAAATGGCTCTTCTCCGGCGAGCTCTACGACCCCCACTCTGAATTCTTCGTTTCCGTCGACCCATCACTTGCGCATCTTCAAGGACTGCATCCCTCAAGTCTTGCAGGTGGCATCGACGCATTCGGCGAGGATTCCGTTAGCGCAGATAGAAGCGATGGCGGAGGCGGTCTCCGCGTATGGGAGGCGAAGTATCACTTTAGAAAAGAGATGCTCCCGATGTTTGTGGGCGAGAACTTTGGAAGAAAAATCTTTTCGACAGGCAAGAGCTTAAATTTTATAAGATACAGTTGTCACGATTCGGATTGGGTAGCGACGAGGGAGAAGATGAGTAATACGGGCGGAAGTGGGTTCTGCACTTCTACTCGCTTTTATGTTGATACTTATGTTTCCCCATAGTCCTCAAGTACAGCGATATCGCAGGACTGGAACGTAGTATCGACAGCGCATACAACACCGCCTCTGCTCGCCTGTTTGAAGTCTTCACTGAGAAATTCCGCCTCCTCGATCACCTCTCCGCACTCAAGCACTACCTCCTCCTTGGTTACGGTGACTTTGCTGAGCAACTCATGGAATCGCTTGGGTACGTAATTTATGCCGTCACTTCATCTATGCTGATGGGCACACAGGCCCTCTCTCACCCGACCTGCCAACACCCTCTACCGACACAACCTCACAGCGACACTCGAGACAGCGATTCGTACTTCAAGCGCACAAAGCGACCCACCGGATGTTCTCCGCCGCCTCGATGCTCGCATGCTGGAATACACGCACGGCGAGCTTGGGTGGGACGTCTTCACGCTTGAATACAAGGTCGACGCGCCGCTCGATACCCTCCTCGACCCCGGGTCTCTAGAAAAGTACAAGCGGATCTTTGCACATCTGTGGGCGATGAAGCGCGTAGAAGGCGCGTTGAGCAGTGGCTGGATGAGGGTTGCTGGTGCTGGACGAGTCGGAGGGCGGTTGGAAGGTGAGTTGATTATGCTGCGATGTTTTCTTCCTGTCAGAGGCCATGGCTGCGGTGCTGACGCGCAATACAGAACTGGAGTATGATTGGCACCAGATCCGGATCACGACTTCAGAAATGATCCATTTTATTCGCCAGATGCAGGCATACACACAACTCGAGGTCATTGAGTGCTCGTGGAAGGCTCTTATGGAATTCTTTGCGAGACGGGAGGGTGATCTTGACGCTATGATCGATGCTCATCAATCATATCTTGATCGTATGGTCAAGAAGGTGTTGCTAATCAGTCCTAAGGCAGGGAGAGAGGTAGGCTTGGCTCGCAAACAAATTTGTCGCGCGCTTACCGTCATGCCAGGAGAGCTTGTTGACCCAAGTCCGGGAGGTATTCTCGACGATCCTTCAGTTCCGCGAGGCAATTGTAAGCGTTTATTTATCCTCCCTCATCCACGTGTTTCTTTCCTAACAACATTACCACAGGATAATTTCTACAACTACACCCTATCCGAGTCAGCTCGGTTAGACCAAGTGCGAGATGCTGCCCGTGGGGTATACACTGCACCCACCTCGATGGCTCACACCCAGTCGCTTTCTCAGATTCGCAAACTCCTCAAGGAATATAGCACTGCATTCAGTGAGCGCATGCAAATTATCGTGCAGGCTTTGCAGTCACATCCAGATTTGGATTGCCGGTTCCTTGGCATACGACTCTCGTTTTCAGAGTTTTATCGTTCGAAGAAGGATAGGGAGGTTCTTGCAGCGCAGAGATCGTGACCACAAGCGTAATAAAGTGCATTCATAAAATACGCTAGGAATACAGTGACGACATGAATGATACAGACCAGATGAACAAATTTGTTGCCAAAAGAAATTGAACTTTCTAAAGCTGTATCTTTGGCTCCTTGTATAATTTAAGTGCGAGAGAGGAGCAAATTACGGATACAGAGCTAGAGTAACCGATCAATACATGTTTTATACCCGATGGTCAGACTACTTACGATAATGCCATGGCCAATGATGCCCATACAGGGGCTAGGCGCGCATGTCCAGCAGGGTATACGACGCCAGCGGCGATGGGGACTGCAATTACATTATACATAATTGCCCACATCTACGGATTATATTAACGGCGAGTGGTGCAAGGGGACTGAAGAGACATACAAAGTTTATCTTAACGCGATTGAGCACTTTTCTCGAGAGATCGCTTAAAGTGAGTAGACATTTAAGGTTTGAAGATACAAGGATGAATGAAGCGCTAGATATCGCGACGTCACCTGAAGTATGTCAGTATGTACACCGTTAAACAAACGCTATGGCTCACTTCCAGATCCGATGGCTATTCCTATGTCACTGGCTGCTAGTGCCTGACGCCAGTCAATACAAAATACAAATACCTGTAGAGAGGACTCACGGGTGCGTCATTGATACCATCCCCAACCATTGCGACGATACATCGCCAATTTGGCGCTGACCTCGGCAGTATACGTTGCCATCGTGAAGATGGACGTCTGTTGCCATTGTGCTGCAGCCACTCGATCTTTTCGGCCTGCGGGACAGGTCAGATGACGTGACGGGGATTCGAATATCAGGAACAAACCTTTTGTTGAGGCAAAACTCCAGCGATGACATTCATTTCAGGAATGCCCACGGATTTTGCGACTGCTTTAGCCGTAGTCTCGTTGTCCCCTGATATCATCCATGTCCCAATGCCCTGCTCCTGCAAATGCCGTATAACACCAGTAGCTTCCTTCCTGATGGGATCCGACACAGCGAATATCGCTGCAACAACGAATCGGTTGTCCAAGTCTGCGACCGTAACCGCGAGGAGGACGATACTCTTCGCCTCAGATTTCCACCTCTCGAGCACTTGGAGAACGTCTGGAGAAAGCAGTACATCATGGTCTTGCATCAGGGCCTCGTTTCCTACTATCGCCTTGCAACGCATTTCGTCAAAATCCGCTTTGACGCCTTTACCAGCGATTTCGTCGAACGCGTTGCCAGTAACAGACACGGCACCATGCTTCCCCGCATACTGCCTAATTGCATTCGCGAGTGGGTGAGAGGATGCAGATTCTAACTCCGCGGCAATTCCGAGAAGCGTCTTCTCAGGCACCGACGACAGCAGGATCTCGGCATCAGACACTCGGGGCTCGCCACCCTCGGTAAGTGTTCCGGTCTTATCGAATACGACGATGTCGAGTTGGGCCATTTCTTGGAAAGCCTCGCCGCCTCCGCGGGCCAAGATTCCATGTTTTGCTGCGAGGCCGGATCCCACAAGAAGAGCGGTAGGTGCTGCGAGGCCAATGCCGCAAGGGCATGCCACGACGAATACTGCGATTGCAAACTCGAGAGACCACACGACTACAGAGCTGATGTCAGTACAAAGTTCAGCGAATCACTTGGAAGAAACTCACCCCATCCGCCTTGACTTATGTCTAGATAACTCCTAGGGATGGCACCGCTAACACCCAAGGCAAGCCATATCAACCACGTAACAATCGCTAGCAAAGTAACGATCGGGACGAACACAGTCGTGATGTGGTCTACAATACGCTCAATCAGCGCCCTGCGAGTCTGGCCCTCACGGACGATCTGCACAATCTGGTCTAACCTGTAGAACTAGGTCGGTACAATGTTTACACCATCAAAGTTAATTGGCTAACATTGTGACACCGCCAATAGCGTCCACTCGAACGTCTACTGCCCTAGACTTGTTGATTGTTCCAAGGAGAACCTTGTCCCCAACATTCTTCTTGACGAGTCTAGCTTCACCCGTCAAAGAACTTTCGTCGAAGGACGTCCCCGCACCAGACACGATTGTACCATCCGATGGTGGCGTAGCACCATTTTGCACACGTACCACATCGCCAACCTCCAAGAGGTCAACACGTACCTTCTCGAACTTGAATCCAGGAGACGCAATAAAGCTACCGTTATCAAATGACACGTCACATTTTTCGGGATCATCGCGGGAAACGATCGCAGGGGCCGTAGAATTAGAAGCAGAGCCAGTGGTCAGTAGAAGAGCTTCGGCAGGGCGGAGCGAGCCGAGCGCAGTGATTGCATCGGCAGTCCTTGCTTTACTATATGCGTCGAGGTAACGGCCTGATGATTTATATTGTATCACGCAGGATATGCAACACATGGGCTTCACTCACCAACAAGTAAGAACATGGTCAGGAACACGACAGCGTCGAAATATGTGGTATCTTGTGCTGTACCGCTGCTCGCAGGTGGCTGCATGGCTGCAAGAATGAGAAGCGAGATCGACGAAAAGTAAGCCACAGACACTCCGGTAGAAACCTGTTTACGCATGTCATCACCTTGTGATAACGAGTAACACGGTACATACCAGAAGGTTCATACTCCCAAATCTAGTAAAACGCTTGACGATGGGAGTCGTGCTCCCTTTCCTCCATAAACATCTAATTTCTTTGATGCTTCGACGATGAAATAAACCAGCACCGTAAAAGTATACTGGGGTCGCTAGGAAGAAAAGCGCCCACTCAATGCGGGACGCATTTCCTTTCCACATGGGCTTCATTAGGTATTGTTTCGTCGAACTGCCACCGGGAACGAGACTCATGTAAATCACGCCGATGATGAACGTGGGTATCGCAATGATAAATGTGAAAAAGAGGCGCAGAAGCAAGGCTCGTTGCTCGCGCTGCTGCAAGCTGCGCGTGAGCTCTTCGAGCGTAGGCGGACAACAAATCGATACAGTGTATGTCGGCTCCACGGACCGGATGGTTGAGATGATAGAGCGGATGGTGAAGTCTGGAGGCGATGGCTTGTATGATACTTCCATTATGGGGTCCAAATGGTTTGATAACGGTTTGATAATGGCGACGTCTGGCTGGAGCCTTTGCAAGGCAGTCATAATATTTGGTGGACAGTTTCTGATCAGGAGATGTCAGTAACGCTGGATGCGACAACAGTACAAATCGACGCACTGGCAATACATTCCACCAATACGAAGGGATAAATTCCGAGGACCCGTTGGACTTTCTGATGTTGGTGGGATGAGTGGCTCGACTTTAATAACGCCGACTTCGTAGCCGCAGTCGTCGATCGCTTCGGTCGCGGAACCAACAAGGTCCCTTCGAGCAACAACAACCGTAGCGGAATGGCTAAGCAGGCTAACGACCACTTCGGAGATCCCAGGGAGTTGCGAGACGATTTCGGTAATGGTACTTGGACATGCGGAGCATGTCATGCCACCTACGGACAAGGTGACGAGATGCGGGACGTCAACGACGCCAACTTCGTGCAACGGTCTTGGGCTCAATTCTTGGTCCTTTTTTGATCCCTCTAGCGTGGAGCAATCCATTGGAGAAACACGGTTGGAAGACACGTTGCCGGTATTACCCCGCAAGAGCGGTGGAACTATGTCCTCGAGTACCGTAGCGGCCACCTCCTGACACGATGAACATTGTTGTATATGCTTTTGACGTTTTCCAGAATGCGTGCTACTCATTTGTTGTGAAAGCCTCTGCTCAGAGGCTGGGTCAGATACATCAAACCCAGCGTCTTCGAGCATGGATTGTATGGTGTGTCTGGGTATTGTAATGGCATGCCCGACTGTCACTGACTGGTGGACGATGGATATGTCTAGCCTCGTTGGAGGGGGTGACAGAGAGAAGAGTACTTCATTAATTGTACTTACACAACTGCAAAAAAATATAACATTAGCAGAATAAAAATTACGACCGTTGTATATGTATACCTGCTGCAGTGAAGATTAAATATGAAGACAGTCGTGACATGCGTCTGACTCTGAGACGGCGTCAGGGTGTTCATGAGAGGATGATTTTTGTGCGATTAGATCAAGTGCGAAATAGAAATACGATGGCTGGCATGAAATGTATGGGAGTTGGGAGGACATTATATAGCGATGTAACAGCCTAGATATTTGCTGGCTGGTCAGTTTGAGCTTACGATTTGCTGGCGAGCATTCAGAAAATGCCTCAAAAGTCGGCGCAATTACCGCAGTGCCATCATCACGTGTATTGGGTTTACCAGTATACTTCTTTACCACCCTATCCCCTACGTTACGGTCCACTACTCATTTATAAGTTTAATCTTCGGAGGTTAACGTTCAACGTTTAGGCAGCCCCGTGAGCGAGGTTTCAAATTCGTCGGGTGAGCACTCAGCAGGATCTGGTTAACGGGTCTCCAAGCGATATTCCCCGAGACCTCAGACCCGATTCTAAACAAGGCTGAACCCTAGCCCCTAGCCAACCAGGAAGCCCTGACTCTAGCAGTACATCTAGATGGCAATTTTCAAAATTTGCTTTCCGCGGAGGTGTAAGTAATTCTTATACCCAGAGACCAAATGCGAAATTTCCTCAGGTTTGTGCTGCTTTGTTATAATTAGACGCTTGTCAACAAATAGGAGTCCACGGAGTCCAAAACAAACCGGTCTACCTACTGGAGACGACGGAGTCCCTAGCCCTAATATTGCCAGTTGTGGATGGTTTCGAGAAGTCAATGATCCATAATATATTGATGGTCCGTTACTGAGACGCTACTGGAGGTCTGCGACCCGTAGAAGTCTCAGATCAGCATCGTCAAACGTACGAGCAAGTGGTGTAGCTATTCGGTAGTTTCCCGTCAGCAGAACGAAGGAAGGAAGTAGAGCTAATATTTTAAGACTGGGAGAAAGAGCAGTTGATTATCGACACCGGTCATCCTCGTTACTGGCAGCAAGTACTAATACCGACGTGGTACGACATACCAAGAAGGAATGTCTTCAACATACAATTTGAGCTTGACTTGAACGGTGTGATCGACAATTGGCGCCGTGGCTGCAAAAGTTATAAGTTGGCACGTGAGCGGCGGGCGCTACCAAGCCGTTTCAGCACCAAACACATTTTTCAATGCGACCGACCGTGATGAACTCATTTAGTGCCCCTCCATTACCTCCAGGGTGGTCAGAGCACGTTGGTACGTGTCTCAAAACACACCAGGCACTCTAGTTGTTAACTCACATGCATACAGGACCTGCGGGCCAGCCATACTACTACCACGCCGGGACACGAGAGTCTACCTATGTTCGGCCGCTCCCCGCGTTCCCCATCATTCCACAAGCTATCATACCCCAGCCTCCAAAGAAGAAAGACAAACCGTTGGTAAAGACCCCGATACCTGATACAGAATGGCTTCGCGTAACAACGACGGAAGGGAATATATTCTATTCACACAAGGCGAAGAAGCAGAGCGTGTGGACCGTGCCAGAGGAAATCAAGGATGCTGTTGAAGCATTCGAGCGTGCCGAGGAACATGAGGAAGTGCAGAAGCAACAACAGGAAATAAAGGAAAAGGACATCCAGAAGTTGGGGTTCGAGGAGGAGCAGGAGCTCAAACGGATTAAGACCGAAATGCAGGGCCTTGTGAAGCGAAAAGCGGAAGAACCTCAACCTCTGGACGAGGTTGTGATTTCAAAAAAGGCGCGAGTAGAAGAAGAGGAGGAAGGTGAGGAGGGGGAAGGGGAAGGGGAGGATGACGATGACGATGAGAACGAGGAGGAGGAGGAATGGCAACGCGAGGCTGCTGCACAACTCGCTGCTGAAGCAGAGGAGGAGAAGAAGAGGCTGGAAGAAGAGGCCAGGCTCGCACAGGAAGCAGAAGACACAGAGACCAAGAAGATGCAAGAAAATGAGAGGTCTCAGCTCAACATGCCCGATCGCGTCGATCTCTCTATTGAGGAGGCTAAGGCATTATTCAAGGTCTGTCACTAGCTCTGTTGATTGATGATCCCTTGGTTAACTCCATTGACCAGACATTACTCAGGGAAAAGGATATCAGTCCTTTGCATCCTTGGGATACTTCATTACCCTTGTTTATATCAGATCCGCGCTATGTTCTACTCCCTTCTGTGTCAGCACGTCGTGATGCATTCGATGAATACTGTCGGGATCGCGCGCGCGAACTACGGCAACAAAATGTCAAGAAAGAAAAGGCAGAAGCAAATCCTAAGGAAGAGTATGAACGACTCCTTAGCCAGGAAGTGAAGAGCACGAGAACATCTTGGTCTGAATTTCGGCGGACGTGGAAGAAAGACCGGCGATTTTACGGATGGGGAAGAGATGACCGGGAGCGAGAGAAACGATTCAAGGACTATCTCAAAGAGCTTGGAGAGAGTACGAATTTGGTTATGCTTCATGACCGATGTATCCAGCTGACCTTTGTCTAGGAAAGCGTATAGCCGCTGAGAAGGCGGAAGCGGATTTCTTTACTCTTCTGCGAGAGAGTGGTGTGGTCAGGTCAGATTCGCTATGGAAAGACGTAAGTATCAAGTATCTGTCTGCCTTATCATCATCAGATATATTGAAAGTTTGCATTCTAGGTGAAACGAAAAATATCCCATGACGCACGATATGATGCTGTCGGGTCTTCGTCTCTGCGTGAAGAGCTATTCCAGACATTCCTCAAGGCACATGGGTCTTCATCTTCGCATTTAACCTCTACTAAAGTTAAAGATGAGACGTACAAACATGGCACAGAAGAAGATGCTGAGCGAAAGCGCAGAGACAAAAAGGAACAAGCCCTTAAAGAACGTGAACAAAAAGTGAAAGCTGATCGTAGTCGTATGGACGCCGAAATAGGGCGCTCCAAGATGGGTTTAAACCTGGAGGAAGGTGAAAGAGAATTCCGGTGAGCCGCCTTGACTTCCATAGTTCAAGGGTCCAGGTCGCGTCGCTCAACCCCTTTCCTCTTTCTTAGTACACTGCTTACAGACGCAGTACGAGACCCACAGGTACGGTTACTTCTTTCTTCGAGGCAGTAACTAACCCACATCTCATTATGATCGCAGACCACCTGGGAATCGATACGTCCTCAACTCCAAACTGATCCTCGATTCAACAACTCCCCTCTCTCAGTAAATCAGCAATTGCATCTTTTCCATGCACATATGAGTCAGTTGCAGATGAAACATTTGACCGGTCTACATTCGTTGTTTCAAGCGCATGCTCCATCCTTGGCAACACCATTCTCTGTTCTTCCGCTTGAATCCATGTTAAAATCGCTTCCGGTAACAAAACTCGCCTTCGACACACGTGATCTCCAACAGGAATATGAGAAATGGCAACGCGAACGGACATACGAATGCAGAAAAGCATTCGACGAGATGCTCGCGGAGAACTCCTTTGTTGAGTTTTGGGGAAGATTGGGTAAAATTGGAGGTGAAGGAGTCGAAGGAGGGGTCAAAGCAGATGAGTTGGATGAGGACGAAGGCGAAGGCTTTGGTGGAAAGGTCGACATGAAGGCGCTCGCAAAGAGTGTAGACCTTTCGGACATCGAGAAAGTGCTTAAGGTATGTCCAGTCGTTCGCGGAATAGATGTGACAACTAATTACTTGTCAGAATGATAAGCGATACATCATGTTCGAGCATGTAGCAGTACAACGAGAACGATGGTTAAGGGTGAGTTGAATGAAGGGTTTCGAGTTTGCGACCTTGTCTAATCCATGCTAGGATTATGTTGCAGGTCTGACTGCACCTAAGCTATCTGTTCATGTGTAGAATAGTTGATTCGTGTACTTAGCTGCTCAAGTGCTCATCTCCTTGAGATCCTCATTTGATTTACAAACACTCAGCGCTTAACGCGTATCGTCGTCAGGTGACCGGTGACACTCGAAGTCAGTCACGTGGTATCGAACACGTCAGTACTTTCAATTTCACACAAGGATTTCGTATTTCAATAAATAGCTACCGTACTTGCCCACTGGACTTCAAAGCATTAGCTAAGAGACCAACTCTCGTTCCCAGTCGACAATGCGTCTGCTGAGTCCTCTAATCCTGTCACTTGCAGCCCTTTCGTCGTGCGTTTTCGCGCAAGACGCAGGTGCTAATGCGCACAAGGTCAAACATGACTACCAGGTAGGTTCCCCGCGTCTGTTCTGTATTAGTGTACTTTAGCAGACCATTTGTTTGACAGAGTGATGTTGCACGCCTGCGCAAGATAGTTGTCGACAGGTGCAGTAACCTCACATCAGAGTCGACGTCGAGCGCTAACTATGTACTACGTACTGCAGTCTTTACTCAAACAGGTGACATTGCAATCCCTGAATGCGCCTACACATACTCTTTGCTAAACCCACTTACTTCAGGGACGTGTTCTTGCGGGAACTCATCTCAAACGCCAATGACGCACTCGAAAAGCTTCGGCTCACCGCGCTCACAGAGAAGAGCGTGTGGGATGGCGTCTCCCCTTTGAACCTCACTATCAAAGCGGAGAAAAATCCTGATGGCGAGGGTGGTCGTATCATTATTACCGGTTTGTATCACTCTGCATCATTGTCTGCCGCAGTACTTATTGTTGTGCCCAGACACCGGCATTGGCATGAATGCAGCGGAATTGACAACCAACCTGGTATGAGCCTTGTCGTCCTGCGAAGTGCGAGCGTGACACAACATTTTGAATACTTAGGGTACCCTGGCGAAGTCTGGAACTTCTGACTTTCTTGCGGGAGTAGACGGCGACGATTCGACCGCAACTGGCAATCTTATCGGTGCGTTCGGGCTTGGTTTTTACAGCAGGTTAGTCCGACTTTTGAGTCCGTGGACATATGGTTGACTCTCCACAGCTTCCTTGTAGCAGATAAAGTCACTGTTGCATCTTTACCCCCGCGCTCGTCCAAGAATCCCAATCCTACTCAGAATATCTTCAGTTCTTCTGCGGATGAGGGATCATTTGAGATATACCCCGACCCACGCGGAAATACCCTCGGGCATGGAACTCAGATTACACTTCATTTGAAGAGTGACGCTTCTCAATATCTTGTGACCTCTAACCTTATGAAGCTTGTGTACGTATCTTACTCTATCTTATTGCGCGTCTTTTTGAGAAGTATCTCAGTAACCAGCACTCTGGATTTTCGACAACCTTCCCGATTTACATCTGGTATGAGACCGAGGAAGAAGTTCCCGAAGTAGACGAAGAGGTTGTTTTAGACGAGCAGGAAGGAAAACCCACTGACACGGACGAGGATGAAGCTGTTGTCGAAGAAGATGCGGAGAAGGAATCTGCATCTCCCAAGATGAAGAAGGTTACAGTTGGTCACTGGGAACACTTGAACTCGCAACCTCCCCTCTGGATGCGGTGCGTTGTTGCTTTTGCTCTCGCGAGGATATACTCACCTTCTTGCCAGCGATCCGAAGACAGTCACTGATGAAGAATATGAGCTACTGTACCAGGGAACCTTCAAAGACTTCCAGAAACCCCTTGCATGGCACCATTTCCATGGTGACTCGGAATCCGGCGTGTCTTTCCGTGCACTCATTTACATTCCCTCGCGTTTGTGAGTAGTTATGATGATGATTATGTGCTTCTCACCCATGTCTTTCAAGGACTGAGGAGTTTTTCAACAAACCACTCGATAATTCAGCAAAGGACGTCAGGCTGCTAGTGAAGCACGTGTTCATCACCTCTGACCTGGGTGAATATAGCTTGCCGAAGTGGGCTAGCTGGGTGAAGGTTATTATTGACGGTAAATCGGTTCGGTTCGGCCCAGGGAATTGTGTTGACTTGTATACCTATCATCTAGCTGATGACCTTCCATTGAATGTCTCTCGCGAAACCCTCCAGTCCAGCTCTTTCCTCAAGCAGATCAAGCAAATTATTTTGCGCCGTCTCATTCAGCTATTCTCTAAAATTGCTGACGAAGACGAGGAAAAATATGCAGAGATCACGAAGAACTTTGGTCAAGTCTTGAAACTCGCTGCGTCAGAGGACGCTAAAAACCGCCAGAAACTGGCAGCTCTTGTACGCTTTAACACAAACCAACGGGAAGTCGTATCATTTGACTCGGTTAGTGGCTATTATTATGATCATACGGGAGCATGAATCTAAATTGCACCATCCCAGTATTTGGAGAACAAGAAGCAAGGACAAAAGCAGGTGAGTGGTATTGAGAAGAAAGGGAATGTCATGTTTAGAACACAATCCAGATCTTCTACCTCGCCGACATGGGTAAATCCATTGAACACCTGTCTCAAAGCGTGTTTGTAGAAAAGTTGCACGCCCGCGGGTACGAAGTACTGCTTCTGAACGAGCCATTGGACGAGATTATGCTTCAAAGCATCCGAAAGTGGAAGTAAGCCATTGATGACCTCCACGATTGAAAGAATATTTCACTGATGGGTCAACAAGGGGTGTTCCATTCCAGGACGTCGCCAAGGCTGGACTGGACTTTGGAGATGGTAGGTTCCCATCAATGTGAGGGTTTCCGTTGTTCTCATATCCGCACACAGACACCCCGGAAGAAAAGGATACAATTGCGGAATTGACAGACAAATACGCCCCCCTTCTTGAGTGGCTGAAAATTGAGGCTGGAGACAATGTTAAGAATGGTGAGTACTCACTTTACGATTGTATGACACTCTGGCTTAAGGTTGCATATTCGTCAGTGATCGTCTCTAATAGGCTCGTCACGAGTCCTTGTGCGATTGTCGCAGACAGCATGGGTTTCACAGCAAATGTCCAGAAGCTCATGAGTACGTTCAACTGGTGACTTGGCAGCGCTGGTTCAAACTCAAAATTTGCAGGTGCCACAAGCCGCGGGGCGCAGCAGAACGATGCCATGCAAGACTATATGAAGAAACAGAAGGTTCTGGAAATTAATCCGCGATCGCCGTTGATCGAAGGCCTCCTGGAACACGTCGAGCAATTGAACGCAGATGGCGATGACAAAGACCTGGATTCTGAGGCACAGCTCAAAGAGGTTGCTTCCATCCTGATTGACGGGGCTCTTGTTCGTTCAGGGTTTGAAGTTGCCGACTCCAACATGTAGGTCCTGACAAAACTGATAAAACAATGTCTCATAATGACACCACGCAGGTTTTTGACTCGTGTGGATAGAGTGCTCAGGCGATCACTCGGTGTCTCTGAGACCGCACCGACAGACAACACCGTGAAACCAGCTCCTCCCGTTGACCCAGAGCTGCCTAGTGACATACCCGTGGATGATGAGATGTTCAATCTTGCTGATGAAATGAAACGCAATCAGATTGAGTTCGAGATGGAGGAAATTGATGAACACGGAAATGTTGTTCACGATGAACTGTGATGTTGCAGTAGATATTGTAGCAGTTCAGGCTGGTCGATAATAAAATTTAAAACATCTACACCTGACCAAATGACTCGGCGTGGGAGTCGAAGATAGCGGCTATGCCACCTTGATGCCACCACAGTGAGTCTCACCGTTAGCAGCACTATTCAGAATCAGAACGTCCATATACGACAGTCAACGCCGAGCATTTGCTGGCCTTCACAATCGTTTCTAGACTGGACGCGGGTTTTCCGTCTGTACATGCTTCATGGCTACACCCGCAGCCTTCTCCCGCCTTCAGTTAGCTGCAGCACTAATTGGTAAGTGTGTAAGACGTGGATGACGGACACGCTTCATAAAGTCTCTTGGAATTACAGAGTATGACAATGATCCAACCAACCCTTACTTGCCTCTGGTCTCCGCACATGACAGTGCTATCTTCGCTCATCTCCGACGAGGTGTAGGGCAGTCTCGTAAGAGTACTGACTATCTCGGAGTGTCTGTGCCCAGTGAAGCAGGCGATTCTACCCCGGGACACCGAAGGTCTAGAAGCTCCATTGACGGACTAAGGAACCCTTTCGGAGATGATGATGACGAGGAGCTTGAAGACGAGGAAGCTGGCGAGGTAGATCTTGCTTCATGGGGCCTTGACGAATTCATCAAGGACAAAACCAAAGCAAAGGGCAAGGCGAAGGCCAAGTCAGAGGTGTTGCCCAATCCTCATCCAGTAAAGATGATGCATCGAAATGCCCGGAGCGCTATAGATGACGGACCTCGGGGAAGGTCGTCCCGGCCAATAAGTGTCGGGACCATGGACGACTTTGGTGTTGGAGGTGCCTTCTTGGACGCTAAGAACACTGCTGGTTCAGACATTGCTCGTCCTCGATCTTCTGCTGACTTAGAACGGATGCAATCCCCTCAGCGTCCAATGCCACGTCGCCGTGAATCCACCCACGCTCTCATCGAGACGATGCCTGTCGTACCCCCTCTTCATTCTGTTCCGTTCCCTTCCGTTTCAATTCGAGATGGTTCTCCCGGTGGAGAAAGACCTGCTTCACGTGCTGACTTACATACCCGTACTCAATCCGACGCTAGTATGGGCTCCAAGAACTTTCTGAACGGCGCAAATGTTGGTGCGGACGGCAGTCCCTTTTCTGTCCGACCCCCATCACCTGACCGTGCATCACGATTTGATCCCAAAGTCAATCACGGGAGAACAGCGTCTAATGCAACCATGGGTACTATGGCATCCAAGAATATGCTTGCAGAGGAGAATCCCTTTGCTGTGAGACCTCCCTCACCTTCCCGGTTGTCACGATTTGATCCCAAAGTTCGTGCGCGAACAATGTCCGTTGGGTCAATGGGCACTCGGGTTCTCATTGATAATGACACCGAAGCAGACTCACGCAGGGATCGGCCTTATTCCACTGTTGAGCTACTTAGGCCAAAGGTTCTGGTTATGCCAAGTCCGTTGCAAAATGTGGCTCCTCCCCCTCCTCCCCCTCCTTCTTTTACACCTAGAATTGGGTTTGAGACATCTACAGATGGCCCGCCCTTGCCACCAGGTGCTCGCTCTGCGAACCGTTCGTCCACCTCTTTAACGAACTACATGACTCCCGCGTCGGCACCCATAGCATCTAATTCTTTCACTCCTAATCCTCGAGCAAGTCTTACACTGTCTCAACTCGCTTTTCGCAACACACTTGTGGTTGGAGGGCAAAGAGATATTGCGTACTCTGACATTGACCGTCGTCTTCCTCGAGCGATGAAAGATGGTGAACAAGCGAAGTTCGAAGAACTAGAAGAAGAAGAGTCTCCTGTGCCCGTTTCAATACCTCTCCCTCCTGTCCCTCCTCCCACTGAGATGGAAATGAAGCGCCCGGCTGGGAAGCTCTATGGAAGGAGTTTGATAGACAATCTAGAACATCGCAAAGCGGAGATAAAGCAGAAAGCTCGGTAAGCATTTCAATTGTCTTTTCAGTACTGTCCTTACGGTCACTTTAGTGTCTTCACTGGCGATGAAAGACCATCAATGATGGTCCGGGGTCAGATTCGCCGATCAAGTACTCTCATTGACCCCCAGACGCTTGGTCGTCCCCCTTCACAAAATCTTGACAATGCGGTCACTCCACATCCTCGCCAGTCTCTCTTACGCCGGAACTCCTCTGGCAGCAAGCCTCTCCTGGACATGGATGGAGAAAAAGCTCCCACGAACCTTGGTCCAGGGGCAGAGCAACTCTTGTCTAAAAGTCGCTCTGTTTTTGGTGTGGATACGTTGTGGGATCTTGAAATGGTCAAGTTGAACAAAATGGAGGCAGAAGAAAAAGCTGAAGCTGAAGCGCGGAAGAAGCGGGAAGAGGAAGAGGACGAACGTCGTAGTAAGAAAAAGAAGAAAGGGAAATCGAAAGGAAAAAGTAGCGCCATTCCGCTAGAGTCCACCTCTTCACCCGACTTCGCCTCTGGATCACGAGTACGCTCGGCCCCTCCCACTCTACCTATCATCCAGAAACCCATTCTTAAGCGCGCACCTCAGGTCGACGACGAGAGTGAAAGCGACAGCGACAATGGTGATGCTGTGCCAAAGGCAACTCTCGAAAAAGCCGCTGACCGCTGGGTTTCTGAGTCTTCGGAGGAAGAAAATGAGCTCAGACGGACCAATGGAATTGGTTTACGGTATCCATCCAATGCCAACGCATCCCCTCAGTTCCCACCACTAAATGGCGATGATAGCGAAGAAGACCTTCCTTTAACAGCCGCTGTTCAGCGTGTTGTCAGGCGAGCATCGCAATTGGGGTCATTGGGCATTGATGATGATTCGGAAGAAGACATCCCGCTGACGGCAGCAGCAGTTAGGATTGCCAAACGGGCCACTCAGCTTTCGCTTCATGCAGATGACGATGACGAAGACAAACCTCTGGTAGATGTCATTAACAGAGCCAGATCTGTTAACTTCGATGGTCGATCCCGCGCGGATGAAGATGAGGACGAGCAGCCGCTTGGTCTACGAGCCTCTAGATTACCACTGGCTTCTCAGACATCATTGCCTTTCATTCGCGGCGAAGAAGATGACGACAAGCCACTGGCCTTCCATCCTGAGCAACAACGTCGAACACAGTACCAGATGTTCGCCCAGGCTCAGCAACAACAACAACACCAACAACAAATGATGATGCAAGCTCAAATACAGAACAGCATGTTTTTCAACCCCGCCATGATGGGATCTGGCGTTTTCACGCCTATGGCTGTCCCTTCGATGATGGTGGGCGTACCAATGGCTCCTCCTTCACCTCCCCCAGCGCACGATGCAGGCAAGTATGGTCGTGTGGACAGGTGGCGACGTGATGTTGCTGTGGAGGGTGAGTGAGAGCTGAGCAGTTTGGGTTAGGTTTGCGTTTCTTCAGCTTCATATTTGCTTTTTATCGCAGGATTTTTATGGACACTCTTTGGACATTCGCTCACTTTTTACAATTCTAGTCAGTCCTTTAATGTCCGTTGCATACAGAAGTACATCGGTATAGTCGAGATCAAAAAGTGTGAATAGATCTACGTAAGAAATACCGCGGAGCATTGAACAAATCCTTGAATGGTGGTATCGATTAAGGAATATGCAGCTATGGTACGATGGCATGGGGAAGGAAGGCGCCCATGAGTACATAGTACTATGAAACGCAAATAACACATAGAATGAGTGCCTATGGAATAGTTGATCAACAAGCTCATGAGGGGTTCGTTATCCATAGCTTGCGCTTTGGGACTGTGACGATAGACACTTCTCGCCTACCCATCTCTTCTTCTATCCGCCGCTGTCTAGTCTCTTCATCTAAATCCTCCTCATCGTAATCTGTTTCGACTGAGCGAGGCGCGCCAATAGTTGTGGACACATCATCATGAGCCCTGGCAGCGCGATAAGGAGGTTCATGGAGGTATGGGCCACGAGTATCGGTGGGGAAAGGATATTGTTCGTTGCCCACCACTGACAACGGACGGGAGGTCGGGGTCCCGGGAGAAACAGCTGGCGGAGGCTCCGCGCGAAACCGGGCGATTAAGCAAGTAAGTGTGGACCTCCTGGGTCGACCATGCCATGCGAGAGTAAAAAGGCAAATATAAAAAATAGAGGTCCATAGAAGAAACACTGTGAAGAGTGCTAGATCAGCCCAATTCCACAGCGCGATGAGGGAAAGAATGCAAAGTGCTAAAACGAGAGTATGGAAGAGGACACGAAGGCATATCTCAAACAACGAAGGTAGCACGTGAGTAACGCGGGGGAATGTTGGCGTAGGCACGAGAGCACGGGTGCTCAACATCTCTGCTGTGTTGGGAGTAGAGCTGTTGATGAGGTTGCGTTGACCTTGGCCAGAAACAAGATCGAGTTCGTTCTAGGATGGCATTGAATTTCTTCGGTTAGAAGCAATTACAAAGAAGTCGATGCTCACCACTGCGTTCAGACTGCGGCGTCGATCAAGCCAGTCTACGTCGCCCAAACTCCTTGGTGCAACAGGCACGCGTTGATATGCATCTGTATTTGGATACGCAAGCCCATTTGTGCTGGATCTACGAATACGTGCTGGGCGATTGACAACCTCAAACGCTCGTTGCGGGCCAGACGAGTGCATAGACTCGCTGTCAGTAGAGGTTCTTCCCTCCCTACTCCTGCGGCCTAGTAAGAAGCTCGAACCACCCCAGGAATGTAGACGGGTACGAGGAGAATGTTGGGAAAGGGGATACTGTGAGTGCTGTGTAGCAGTGTATGCTGCGAGCTTCTCAGCAGTGTCGGTGGAGTTGGCGCGAGAAGTAATTGCCTCCGGACTGACCTCTCTCAGTGGTTGCGATGGCGAGCAACACAGATGAAAGAGATATAAACAGGGCATCATCACATAGAGTGCGATGAACAATGCGAGTCCTGCGACTCCATGCCAAGTCGATAGAATAGAACGTTTCGTTGTGGTCCCTGTGGAGCTCATTGATGTGAACGACGAGACAAGACCGCCAACACCAGCACCATACGCAGCAAGAGCTACGATAGCTGATAGATAGAAGAGAGTAAGATTACGATCCGTGGGACGATGCGTTTGTGCTGGAGGTAGAGCTAGGCGTAAAAGTAGGAGGGATGGGAGAAGAATGGCAAGAGAAAGGGGTGCCAGTAGTTTGTGGGTGAAAGAGACATCGTACGACTGGTATGACTGAGTGCCACTGGATGATGTAGCCGGGGAACCAGACGGTGTAGTAGAACTAGAAGACATGAGCTGCACCGCACATTGAGTTATATATTGAATGGTAACGTTAGCACCATTAGCGTCGATGCCTGTCTGAAGAGCACCAGACGGAGCTCCCCAGGTGCCGCCTGAGGACGAAATGGATCCATTGTACGCCCTCAAGATCCAAACTTCCGTGAGGTATTCACCGGATTCATCCTGACCTCCGAAGACAATGGTGTCAGAAGCCACATCTTTATTCGAACCGACGAGCGCTTGAGAATAAGAAAGAGCAACGGCGCCCTCTCGAGGTGTGGGATATGTCTGAACGTCATCTTGGCCTGGATCGCCGGCCGGAAGGACTCTGCTCCAATCGCCTGATCCAATGTCCAGAACTGCTACCTCACCCTTCTGCAGCCCACCCTGGTCGTCCCACAATGAGGAGTTGAAAGTCCCAAGAACAAGGAACACTTGGTTCGCATAACTGGAAGAAAAAGGATTGTAGTTTGGAGCCAGCGAACCTCCGTATCGTGGAGCGGGACACGAGGGAGGGCTGATTTCCATGCTTGATTCTGCTTCCAGGACATACGAGTTACCCTCGGCGCACGATTCATTCGTGTCATCGGTCGTGTTACAGCCGCTCACAGAGATGAGGTTGGTCTGAACGACTGTGGAAGCCTGGTTGACGCTATAGCCTGCGCTGCCAATGGATTGCTGACTCCAAGCACCATTTGTGTTATTAGTCGCCAAATTAGAGGATAACGTTCCGGAGACGGTGAGCTCCCAAACATCTGATAGGGGATACATGTTTGTACCATCGGTGCCACCAGACATATAAAATGTGTTGCTTGTTGTGGTAATATTAGGCGGTACTGTATCATCTCGGCCACCAGAGGCGCCCCAACGTGGTGGTGGATTGCTTGTCGTCGTCACAGTGACTTCGGACCAGAATTGGTTTATGAAATCAAACTCCTGGATGGAGATGAGCAAGCCTGATAGACTGAATGTTGCGAGCAACACAAACCCATACGTCGGACAAAGCTTGTCCAGAGGTCCCCTTTCCACCCATCACCAAGTGAGCATGCCGACTGGTGAATTATGAGACGGACAAGAAAATAAACAAATAGCATGATGCCTACTAGCTAGAGGAGAAGTCTTCACCACTAACAGCCATGTACCTGGCTGGGGGTGAACCTTGTGGTAGATTCGACTGAGGCTGAGGAGTACCCCATGTAAGTGAGCCGAGGTTCAAGCTGAAAATATTTCGTATATAACACAGAAAGATTTGAATCCACGAAAAATTGCACATACAGGTAGGTCTGGTCTGTTGGGATACCACTAGATGATTCACCACCGAAAATGATAAGGTTATTCGTTGTTGGATCGTAACCGATGGACGAATATTTGACGGCAGCCGGTGGTGCACCCTGTATGCTACTGGTGATATTGAGCCACTGTAATGGTGGAACTTGGAATATGGAGGGGAGCTGCTGGGCGTAAGCTGTCGAAATATAATTTATAAAGAAAAGCCAAGCAATTGTAGGACATGGACGAAAATCGGTTGCCATAATGCTCGTGTCAGATGTAAGTTATTGGTGTCGAAAGGTTGTATATCGCGAGCTGACGCTCGTTGTGAGCGACTACTGCGAATTAGAGACCAGAGTTACCAGTGGGAGATCCTGAAGGCGTTGGGTCGCCGTGGCTGCGAGCAACAAGTCCATCCCCGACCATCCACGGCACAATTTTCCTATTTAGGAATCCGTTCGTGTGCTGAGTTCGCGTGGCATCCCGGGCCGCTCAGTCATTCCAAGGCTTATGCTATGTCACTTATTTCTGTTTTCCCCCTTCTTCACCTGCGCAGTGGAAATTGTTCATCTATTTGCGGCTTGCAATCCCACCGACTATCGTGCTCAATGATGTCCTACGGTTAGTGCAGATACTCTAGATCCGCAAGATGAGTCAAAGTTTCAAACACATCAGTACCAGCTTCTAGTAATAGTACTCGAAGCTCGCAATCCAGCAACTTTTTCAGACGGGTGTGAGTTTATCGGTCATTTTCTTTCATGGGTGAGAGCTCTTCGATAATCTACGCAGGGGGGCCGAATTCTAGGGTGCGGCATATTGTAGGATGCACATCGTACCACTAGTCCTGGGATTCATTAGATTCATCGAAGCCTAGACGTTTCAGAACTGGCCTGTGTTACAGCATCTTTATGCACGTGACCGAAAGTGCTAACTAAGATTTCATTAGCTCGACCTCGTCGTCGAAAAGTACAAGCCACCGTTCAACCGCGCACGCGCGTGGCAAGTAGTAACGCATCCTAGCAGAGGTCATCTAGATGGGTCAACTTCTATTACCCCATCCACCCTGTCCCTGCGAAACAGTTAGCCTGTGGCACTGTTACGTACCATTGTTCCCGTACCTCCAGTACTCCAGTGCATATTACCGCGGTTTGGCGGCTGTGCCCTTGATATGTGCTGCCGCGGCACTAGCAGTGCGTTGGTTGTTTCACTTTCGAGCATGTGGATCTTCGAGTCTGCACAAAACCTCTTTCGTACTCTCCACCTGACCAAGTGTCCTAGCTGAAGTGCGTCGATCAGTTTTAATTTGATTACCGAACCATCATGAGGTTGCTGGTAATGAGCATCCAAAATTTCTAGTCGCCGCCGCATGCTCTTGACTCGACTGTCACAATTAATCTGATGCTCTGCTTCCGAACTTGGGCCCACTGCGCAGATCCTCATCGATATTTCATCACGGTCCCCAGTGGCACAGGTTCATATCGAAATCAATTGTTCCAGCCACAACGGTTTCAGACAGCAGATTATGGCTCTTTCCCCTTCTGGGAGGTTCTCGGGTGATTGGCAGGAAGTCCAAAACCGGTATTATTTTTACACCTTTTCATCCCAAGTTGAGCGAACCGTAAGATGACGCCTACCTATCACTGTCCCCGACTTTGTCGGAAATGATGCTTTGGGCCCCCGAGTCGCCTGATGAATTAATAGCTTAGAACAACGGTTCTCCTCTCAGCCATGTGTTGACCGGGGATGAGGCTATTGACGTCCGCATTCCTCCGAACATGCGTCTTGTCATCAAAAGAGTGTGCACGAGGCCGCACCAATGGGGATTTGCTTGCCAGCTGCTTATTGTCTGTCAGCGTGTCAATATCTAGATCTAGTGCCAACGACAAAGTGTAACCCCAAGACAAAGGCAGGAGTTCATCTTCTATGCATCATTGAGTGCTTATGATATTATGCTGGCCCACACCAAATCATTGTTCATCGGTGTAAATATTGATGAAGTCGACGACGATCTCATTTCCATTGTTTTTCTAACACAAGTAGCAATCACGACTTTGACGAGCGAAACAAGGCCGTAAGGGGAATGTGCATTCCCCTTGCGACCTTCATCAATGTACTTACGCAACCATTAATATCTATCCGCCGGGATGTGACATTGCATCCCAGAGAAGTGATGGGACGTGGTGTTCAGCGCCAGTGAGTACATAACCAGAAACCTTGCCATTGTGTTCCGATGATGGTGACTCAGTGGCACGAGGGACACATGGAAAATACTGCGGTCATCCTGTTGACGGACTTCGAAAGGGAATCCACGAAATGTCTGGCCATCAGTAGCTGTAGCTGACCCAATATAGGTGTCAATGTCTTCCTACATGGAAATCAAATTTTAATACTGAAATCGGGAGTTATTCACAAAACGAGCAAAAACATATTTTTATAACGAATGTTCAAGTACAGCTAAAATATAACACTTGCCAACAGAGAAGTCAGCACCGACATACTCGGTAAAAATTCGATCCTCGCTCTTCACTCACTGAATTTGTGAGCATTATATGTACGTATACATTAGATTTTTTTTTAGTCTGCATACTGTGGTGGGGGCTAGCACCTGTATAGTACATATTCCATATGTCACAAGATCTGGTGCACTGGCGCCCGATACTTGGGCGTTGATGATAAGGTTGTGTGCTGTCGTGGGTGCAATCCTGGAGCCGATTTCTTTTTGTCCCGTGGAAGGTTGCTGCTTCGTATCGAACTTCACTATGTCGAGTATTAATCACGCCCCCACGATCACGACATAGTAGACCAACTTCTACGCTTCCATTCTCGAACCGATTTTTACTCGAACGGCTATAGACCGCAGCTTCAAGTAAACATTTCCGCCGGTGATAGCAACTTATGATACCTGTGAGGGTCATCTCAGTGACGCCCAACTGAATTTGAATTGATGTTTCAGGATGTCGGGTGGTGTCTGTCCTTGTCTGATGGCTAGCGACGCGAGCTCTGGGAATATGATCGATGATTATTCAAAGGCGATACGGAACAAGTGTGAATAGAGCAACCAGCCAGTAGGAGCCTCGACCTCGGTGTCGGATCAATGTACATGGTTGCTCAATCAACTATCCCCAATGGTCTGCAATGGTCTGACTTTGAACGTTTGCCAAACACCAAAACGTAAGTGCTGTTTGAGTCCTGCTCGGCAACTTACTTGTACTTACGTTGCAGTGTGCGATCTTCGAAGTAGCGCTTAGGGTCGGCCCGGTGGCGCGACCTGGCCGCCATCACGTGCCTCATTGTTTGAGCGTCGATACAGTCTGCGTCCGTTATCAACCGCCATCGCATGCGTACCATAGAAATCATGATTTCCTCACCCGCGAAACGCCTACTTACGGAGGATGAGCGCGTTTCTAGGATCGGTTCGGAAATTCACAGGAATGATGCGTGAGTGGCGGAAATTCTGCATGACCTTGCATTGCATAGACCCATCAAACAACAGTACTCCATCCGACGTGACTGCGAGCATACGCAATGCGGCAATGAGAGTCAGAAAGAGTGAGCTTTACTATGGCAAGGTACAGCGCGTCGCTAAAGTAAAATGACGCGTATGTGCATGCGTAACGTAGATGTATTAGAGGGGTACCGCACACAGCCCTCAGCCCCAAGCACACCGAACAGCTCCTCAACTAAGTGTACATCAACTTCTCATGTAGAAGAGGAAGCTTACCCTTGGGCAAATGATACGCTGCGAGAAGTGTTTGCATCTGCAACCTCCGGCAAATATACTCCTACTACGTCATCTCCCGCAAAGCGTAGTAGACGCTCCGAGTCAAGCGATGACATTTCCTCGGATAGCGAATCATCAGATGGCCATATGGATGTCGAGAGGCCCATGAAACCCTTGCGGACGTCTGGAGGAACATTGATGACTGCACTAGGTCTGCCTCGTGTACTAACCTGCCCTCCCGGCGGCGCGGAAATGACTCGTGTTCAAAAGTGCCCCATAGCGCAGGAACACGATGCGCATTCCATTATGGATGTCGTCGGGTCAGCTTCCCACATTGCGCAGCGTTGAACTATGTAGTGATCTACGCCGTACGGCGAATGACCTAAGGCACCGGAGGTTAGTCACCTTACCAAGGAGATTGAAGCATAACTTACGAATTGCAGTGCTCCATGACGATCAAAGACTATATTTATACAGGTGTTTTGCACGCCTTCTCGGTCGGTAGATTGTAAGAGGTTGAATAACCGTTTTATGTATGTACCTTGCTGCGGCGGGTTGGCAAGCAAAACATGAAGGATATACATATATTCGCGTACTAGCAACACTCACGCGCATCTTACAGAAATCTCAGGCAAGCAAATTGCCCTGGCATAAACAATGACAAGATGTGAGGAGTGGTCCATTGATTCCTTGCCTCAACCACGTTGTTGTCGCGCATTGTTCCGCCATCAGGATGAGCCCTTCTGGTGAGGACGGTCGATGCGTACGTAATAATCCATTTCGGTTGCGGGCCGTTTAATCGTGGTTTAATCGATCTTGAGCGGACCCACAACGGATTGGTTTCTGATACGTGTCTGCGTGCGCGCTGACCGGCCCCCCAAAACACTTTCCCACAAATGCGAATGCGACTTATACACCTTTTCGGCCGCGGGCTATGCCTTTGTTGTATCTCCCGCGAATATTGATCTCCAGTGTGCATCCAGTTCACCCACAGCTGGAAGAAGCCCTGTCAAGATCTCCGACCAGAATGGGGAGTCGGTACTGGGAAAAATTAGTTCTTGATCTCGTAGCCTTTTTCTATGAAAACAACTTCCTCAGCCGGAGTGAACAGATCGCCTTGTATTTATACCCATCCATTTTCAACCGAGTCTTAAAACCACCCCTCTCTCCCTAGTCCATTCAATCCTCAAGAAATAATGTCACCGCTCTCGTCCGTATCTAACGCTCAGCAGTCCTTTGACAAAGCCAAGAAACATCTATGGCAAGTGGCACATCTGACATCTCCCACCCTATGTTGGCATTGCATTCTCTTGGCCCTGGGTCATCGTTGGAGCCCCATGTTTCGGCGATGCCCAAAGTGCTTTAATCTATTACACTTTGCTTTGTTCACTTCGCTTACGATTTCCTACGTATAATTACTGACGCCACATTTCGCCACATCTTCATTTCACCTTCCTACAGGGCTTCCGACTCACCGAAACAAGAAATGAGCGGTCCCAATAGACACTCCGAGCAGACTCGCTACTCGCTACCTGAGGTAGAACGGGGTTCCAGCGACCATGACGAGTGCCAACTGAACTCACCTGGCGATCCATCCACTTCTCAGCGACAATCGGAGCGAAGAGGGTGTATACTGCCTTCGTCTTCACGGTAATTCTTCATCTGATTCACTTGTTCGTCTCTATAATTGCCATTATTGTAAGAAGTAACCTGTACACCTTGCCACCTCTCTCTCGTGAAAGAACATATGACCGAGATGTCCGTCCTTTACCTTCTCGATTCACAAAGTTCATGGACCACTTGCCGGCACACGATGGGCAACTTAGGTATGCATGTTCGATGCCACTCGGCGAAGTACTAATCGCTTTGAAAAGGCACACTTGCACAGACTTGGAGACCTACCATGACAGTCGACAACAACGACCCGTCTCCTTATCGGTTTTCAACGCGCCAACGGCGACGTACGCTTGGGAACGCTATGAACCTGAATCTCAGATACCATATCCACGCCCCCTTTATGTCGATTACATTGGTCGAAGTTCCACGCGGTCGGCATCGTCGAGCTCCATCTCCAGCTTACGCGATTCTCCTGGCATGCCGTGCGTTTTTATCAGATCAGTATGAAATAGGGTGTTAAAATGTAGTCGCCTTGGCAGCTCCCCGGCACTATCTGACCGCAGCATCTCCACACCTACTTTACTCCCCCAAAAACGAAGAAGCTCATCCCCAGCTGGACAGTACGTGGCTTTTAATTGCTCTTATCTCTTCTGCTAAGGACACCCCTTCTTTCATTAGTTACCATGCATCTTCCGTCACGAAGATCATGGAGCCGCTCAGGTACTTCATTTAACATTCTTTGCAACCTCGCATATAACGGACTTGCAGACATGTAAACATTGAAGTTGACCATAGCCAGCCTCCTGTTTCTTCCAGGCCTTACCAGCGAACGCTTACTCCTCCTGAAATGATCGGTAGCCCACCATTGCACAGATCTCAATCTGATCATCATTTCTCGGCAAAATACAGCATTCCAAGCGGCAGCGATGAGCGCCACCGCCAACACGAGGACAGTCCATGCGGTAGTGATTCCAGTGATCAATCACACATTACCCGCCCAATAATACCACCCAAGTCAGATTCAGAGGAGTGGGAGAAGTACGCTTGTTTTACTCTGGACGGCACGACACGGAAATGGTTGTGCACCTGGTCGACAGAGTCAGGAGGACAGTGCAAATACATGTCCAAGAAGCAATTAGTCAAACGCCACGTTGAAACGACTCATTTGCGTTATAAGTAAGCGACTTGGTCATTCGCGAGCGTCCTTCGCCAATCTGATTCATTTCCAGACCATTTGTATGCGGTGTCTGCGGCAAAGGTTTTCCCCAGAAAACTTCCCTCGATACTCACATGCACGGACAGTGAGTAGCACTTTATCCATGCCCCATTCTAAACTCAATCTACTCATCAGTACTGGATCCACGCCGCACGCATGCCGGTATAATTGTGGGATGTGGTTCAAGGATCCAGCACGTAGACACAGACACATGGTCGACGAGCACCAATACGTTCCAAAGCAGTCTAAGAAGAAGCACACGAACGGACAACCCCAAGACACTTTGGACTTCGAATCTGTGCAACGATGGAATGTTGCCAGTGCCCCTTAGTGCCTGGCCCCTTCGACGAGAAGACTAATGTGTGTCAGCATTAATGTGAGCCGATGTGACATTGGCTGACAGATATCGCCGTGATGTCGGCGTTCGATCTATCATGTCTATGGATGACTGCTTATATATGTATATCGCGGGCCGTAGCATTTCCTTTCTCCACAGAGTGGATGAGAGATGACCTAGGGACCTGCTATGTTCGGAACAATTATTCTTATTATTATAACTGAATTATTCTTGCGAATTTCTATCCTCATTATCTCAGAGATACAGATCAACGCGACCGCAAACTATAAAAGTATGATCAAGATCAAGCATCTCATCCCTAGAAGCGCTGTCAATGATACAACGGAAGTTTTCACAATATTGCGTGCCTATCATTTGTTTTTATGTGTCCAAATAAGAGAATCGGATGATGATCGAGAAGCCAGCTGCCATATTGCATTCAAGTACCTTTTTTGTGTTCACTGGTGAACGGGAGAGGAAAAGTAGCCCACTTATCTCAACCAAACTGCTGTGCTTTGTGACAGGAGTGACTGACAATGAGTTTCAATTTTTGTGACGCTGATAAGGGCTGTCAGGGGACTTTCAGCAGCGCATTATGAGCGGCCAAAGACGGACTACTACTTTAAAGACTTTCTGAAGTAAACGCCGCCATATAATCACCGCCGAGACACGTAGGCTCAATGTCAGCCGACATGTGGTGAATTCTTGATCAAAAAATACAACCCCGACGGTCGCGCGGGTGAGCGCTAATCTGCTGAACTAGACCTCACTTTCCTTTTTGACTGAAAACTTAGAATAAATGGTACCGGCATCTTCCGACCCACATCATTGATCGACATTCCATACAGGGCCATTTGAGCCCGCGAATTCGGTTCACCGGCACGTGAACGACATGCCTTCAAAACAACCACCAACGTTAGGTAGCTTAGCTGTTCAAGAGCCTTCCTCGACACCGCACTTGGTTCATGTCTCGCCATCAACATGTCACAACCTTAGCATGTTCAAAGGTGCATTCAAGTCTCTTGTCGTAATTTGGAGTTTCTAGTGGCTCAATTCTTATAGATCTTCTCAAAGAATATCGCAGACTGGATGATACAATTACTATGCGGTTGAATCGCACGAACGCACAGTTCCGTGATCGAGATCGTGCAGGGATAAGCGGCAAAGGCAATATTCAGGACCAAGCTTGCGCGTACGTATGGAAGGAACTGGTCGGTGAGCTTCTTCGGTGTTCATCCTGAAAAAGTCTCATGCCTGTCCTGTGCTTAGAAAACTGGAAACGGCGTACGGAAATGATAAATTATTGCGTCAATATTGTCGATCAGTCCATAGAGGGGAAGCGAAAGTCATTGACAAGCGAACAGGGCGATGCCAGGGCTGAAAGGAAAACGCAAGCAGCCATGTTTGCGGATGAGGTGAAGGTAAGAAGGGTTTCGGGGTGCAACTCCTTTCCTTAAAAACCCATGCGCAGAGAAATCAAGTTCACAATGAATTGGCTGTTGAGAAGATCGTACGCCAACGATCACTTGATGGTGAGGATGTTAACTTGTCTCACACTGGTTTTTGACATTATTCCATTTGTCAAACTCAGCGTTTCAATCAAGGTGTCAGTATTTTTCGCCTCCTTTGACGGAGGCCGAGGCGCGGAAGTGGTGGGATGCTGTTCACATCCAAGAATCGCCATAGGCGATACAGAAGCCATGTCACCAATTGTTTACCAAACTAGTTGCTTATGTTATCATGCTGATGACGCGATAGCGGAAGCATTTTAGAACAGCCCGTTCACCTGCAACTACCATCATCTAGATATCTATGCTTTGTACCATGATACTATCCTCACTCTCTTTACTCGGATTAACCAGTATTGCGATGGCCCTGGCACCGCCGCTGACGGTGCAGTATCAATTTCCAACAGCAATATCCGATAATATGAAAGTGCCAGTGGTTCTAGGAGTCATGTCTCGCTGCCCAGATGCAATTCTGTGTGAATCTGTGTTCAACCGCGTATTACAAAGAGTAGGCCAGAAAGTAGAGATTTCATTGTCATTCATCGCCAAGTACGTTCAAGCATCACGCCTTCTTAGCACGTAGTTCACTATGTGTGATAGACCAAATGCCTCGGAGCCTTATGGCGTAACTTGCATGCATGGACAAGCGGAGTGTGCCGGAAATGTGCAAGAGTTGTGCGCTGCCAAATATCACACTACTGCTGAATGGTGGTCCTTTATGCAATGCCAAAACTTTCAGGGGAGTGATAATATCGGCACGCCTGAAACTGCCCTCAACTGCGCCAACGCAGCGGGAATCGACTGGGAAAACGGCAAAGCTGGTCGATGCGCAGGAAAAGACGGCCGTGGAACGGAAGGAATACAACTTTTGCAACAGAGCGCCAGGGATAGCATCGCAGCTGGGATCCAGTAAGTCCTTAAGTCTGAGAATCCCATGGGAGCTAAGCCCGCAATAGGAAAAGCTGCACAATCATCATCAATGGTCAACAAGTATGTATACGGGATGGCACTTGGTATGACTGCGAGGTATGCAAATAACATTGCCGCACAATGTGCAAGGCCTTACAACGTGTTATCAGGGCGGTCATTCGCCGGGAGATTTCATCAGACAAATCAACGAAGAGTATGACAGACTCAACAGCGCTGGCTGAAGAAAGGAGACATATTGTTTAACATTAATCTCATGATCCACGTCAGTGCACGTACATAATACCACTCAGCCACCAAGAATTAGCTCGTACACAATTATGACAAGATTCAGTCCTATTAGTGGTACTTTGTGCGGAAACGTAAGTGTGTCAAGTTCCGACTTGAGGCTTGTGCCACTTACTACGCATGAGGGTCCGCACAGCACTAATGAGGTTGATTAATCGGACTTTGACACCAGCGTCTTGCTGCTGGGTATATCCGTACCCTGACTGATCGTATGGTGGCTGAAAACCAGCGTTAGGGTTCTGAACAGAGGACCAGCCGACTGTAAAACGGCGTCAGCGAATGAAGCAGCAGTAAATTGATGGTTCTCACTTTTCGCAAGGAATCGGTCCTCACTGAGGACTGCCATTGCATTAATTAGAAGGAGCGAAACGTAAAGAATTGTTCCGAGTGTGAGCATCGTTCCGCTCGCAGTGATGGGTTGCGGACTTGGTTCTTGTAAACGTGTCGACACAATGTGACTTTCCGTGGCCGTGACAGAGGTGGTGTGACCAAAGTGCGAGCTGAATTTGTTTAATGGGCCTTGGCTGCTTGCCAGAATCTGTGCAGGATGCAATCTGTCGCAAGACAAGTGCGGTACGGTATGTTGTAAACATTTCTGCAGATATAGCAGCTCTTAAGCTTGAGCATGATATAGCAAGTCGTTTGGGTACTCCAGTACAGTTCCGCATAACTTCATCCCCCATTCAATGGCAATGTCAACGGAGGTACGTTGGTCAAACAGAAAGGACGTTCTGTTTCTTATTCTTCATGTTCGCAGAGCCGCTAGTCACTATAATCCTCTGCAATGGATTCAGGAGAAGTTTGCCCCGAAGGCAAGAAAAGCAGATCCGGTGGAGGAGAAGAAAAGAGGTGAGCAGGAGAAACAGGGCCAGCAGAGTGTGTTCGAGGCAGCTGTGAGCCACGAGAAGGGTGGCCGACCTAAGAAAACATCTACCGAGAGCGCTCCTACTGTTGTCAAGAAGAAGGCCACTCAAGTATGACCTTCACACTATGATACTTACCGCACATCACTGACTACACATCGCACAGCACAAATACTCCACGGCTAACTTCAAAATTTCACATAGGAAACTCAATATGATTGGCCGACAGATATCTGGAAAGCCAATTGACCATGCTATCGTGCAAATGCAATTTAGTGAGAAGCGAGCCACAAGCCGGATAAAGAGCATGTTGGCGACAGCTAAACTTCATGCGACGGTATACAAAAATATGGATCCTTCCAAACTCATCGTTTGTAAGTCCCGTTGATTATATATTTCCAAGGGTTGACCTTCTAATACTTGTATAGCGGAAGCCTGGGTGACTAAGGGACCGAAGCAACTAAAACGACTTGAGCCTCGAGGACGTGGCAAGTTTGGTATTAGAGTTCACCCCGATTCGCGCATGCATGTGATCTTGAGGGAAGGGAAGACATTTGAGCAATTGAAGAAGGAGCAACGCGAGCGGCGTTTGAAGAGAATAGTCTCTGCAGGGTTGGTTCGGGAGGATGTACCGCTCAGAAACCCCGCTCGGACCTGGCAGTGGTAGCGGCTGTTTCTAGTCTTGATTACAGTTCATATATAATCGTGCTTTTATTCGAGTGAGAGCTCTTCGGATGTTATCCAGGCTTGCCAGCACGACGAATTGTGATGAATCCGAACGCATTTATTCTTCATTCGGGTACCCGGCATACTAGTAGTAATATGAATAACTAAAAATAGCAGCAAAGGGCAATGACACGTCGTTGCTCTTTCCTACAACAGACCACGATTCTAAATGGCACGACGCTGGTGGACACTTCCTCTGCTCCTTGTGAGCGCGCTTGCACCTTCATTCTCACTGGCTGGTCTTGCTTTTGAAAACACGGCTATCGTCCGCACCATCGAACTAGGTGGTTCGCTAGTACATGTCAGTACAACTTACGCCGTCAAGGCTCTCGAACCAGGCCAAACTACATATCAAATCGCGCTCAGCAAGGCTGAGCGAGCAAAAACAAGTTGGCTCGAGGCTAAAGTAAAGGGCCAGACCACGCCTCTCGAGCTCAACGAGGATGAATCCAGGTGTGTTGGGTCGTGTGTTGTTCAGTACGTGATATTCATGTCATGCAGTACAGAGCATTTGTTATCTGTTTCCCTTCCAAAAGCCTTGGCTGTGAACGGCACTCTCAACCTTGTGTTGGAGACTGTGCAGACGCATGCTACACACCCATTTCCTGAACAGGCCACTCAGAAGGAGCCTCAGCTGCTCAAGTATGAAACTAACCTTTTCACCATCAGTCCTTATACTACCCTCGTACAGCGCACAAAGATAAAGTATGCGCTATCTACTACTTGCTGCATGTCTGAAGATCTGATTCTGCCATGACAGGTCCATCACGCCGAACGTCATTTCCTATACTACCCCACATGACGTGGACAGTTTCGTGAGAGATGGTTCTGTCACCAAATCTGGGGGAACCATTACCTATGGTCCTTACCACGACATTCAAACGGACACAGATTTTGTGGCAAAATATCAACAATCTGTCTCAGTTCATTACAGCTTCGACTATCCCGTTCTTGAGGCCGAGACGCTCCACCGTACAGCAGAGATTAGCCACTGGGGTTCCAACTTGAACATTGAGGACAAGATTCACCTCCATAACGCTGGACCCACGTAAGTGACGCCTCTCGCATTTCTTATACGTCGTTCAATTTCGAATTCAGCCTCAAGGGCCACTTCTCTCGCTTAGAGTACCAGAGCCAAATCTATCACCGCAGGCAAGCCCCGCATATTCTCTCCGACTTCACATTGCACCTTCCACCTGGTGTGACCAATGCGTACTTCTATGACCAGAACGGGAATGTCTCCACATCCCATCTGCGCGCGGCACCGTCGGTCGCAAAAGGCAGCAAGGCAACGCAGTACAGTGTGCTTGAATTACGGCCACGCTATCCAGTTCTCGGGGGTTGGAACTACTCTTACACTATTGGCTTCGACACGCCTCTGCAGGACTCAGTCGGCTATGATGTGAAGAATGGCATATACGTGGTTGGCGTACCTGTCATGACGAACATTCCCGGAACTGTTGTGAACAATGCCGAAGTCAAGATTATACTGCCGGAGGGTGCAACGTAAGTCGAATGAGATTGTAGTCTTTGGGTATTCACTAATGTGACCTACAGCAATATCAAATCCGTCTCCCCTTTCCCCGAACTTTCTAACAGTATGTCAACACACATCAGCTACCTCGATACCGCGGGGCGCCCCGCCGTCACCTTCACATACAGGGACTTGACTTACAAGCACGCGGGCATTATTTATGTGAGTGCATATCTTGTGTGTTGGGTTTGAAGGCACTAAATCAATGCGTTGTCCAGGTCTCGTATCAGGTTCCCCTCTCGGCTCACTTAAAGAAAGCCGTGTCCGTTGGCGCTGCTTTCTTCAGCCTCTTTGCTTTTGCCTTCATGGCTAGGCGCGTGGATTTGAACCTACACAAGAAGTAATGCGTAATGTACAGTACCGCTTGATGATGCAAAATATTCTTGCTTGAAGCGCGTAGGTGACATTTGTGATATTATCTATTTGATTCTTCGTGCCTCAAAGCTCGATCTGACTCCCAAACACCTCCCGCGTGAGCTGTAAAACCTAATTACGTCGCATCGCTTGGTGACATGGAAATAAGGCTTCTTGGAAGATCAAACTTATAAGAATATTAAGTACACGTTATAGCTTCCTGTCTGAGTCTTGTCCTGACATGTGTAGAACAACCCCTAAGTTATTCGACTGTTGCCGAAATCATGATATCGCATGTCTCTCGTCACCTCCACTGCCTTCATGATCCTCCGCATTTGGATTATTCGATGGGTCGTTGTGGGCGCTATCGAGTTAAGTTACAACGTTTGGGGAGGATGTGGGTCCAAGTTCCCGCACGGTATTGCCAAAGCTGGTCATGATCAATCAGAAATGTACACAATCACATCGTGTCTGGTTATCGCGCTTGCCAGGTTCTCCTATCCATGACCATTAGGTGTACAGAAATAATGAGCGCACGTCCAGTGGGACCATCGGCTGTCAGGTAATATATGTCAAATAGCCGGGTTGTGCAAATGGAGCCCAATGCTTCCGCATCTCTGCTGTCGAGATACTAGATACTTCCATGGAGCAGAGGAAAGGCCAAGGTAATGTAGTGAGATCGAGTCGAGATGTATGAGAGACGAGTGCAAGCGGTGTTGATCGGAACGTTCACCCGGTCGTCCAGATTATGTGCAAGCTACGTGGCCGTTTGATGATGCTGATGACCTTGCGACTTTGTCGTGTTCGATCAGATGTTAGTCTCCGAGTTGGCCGCTGTACAGGGGCCAAATCTCCATTTGTGTCAAACTTTCCCATTGCACTACTAGTAATTTCATGAGTTTGACTTGTCAAGTTGTCAGATCTTCAGAGACCGTACTAATTCGGTATGATTTCGAGTCAAGGGAGAAGAACAGCTCGCAACGTCATTCTCAAGTCGAAGCAGAACAACTGGTGGCGATCGATAGGTTCTGGGATAACGATAGACTCAAGTTTAGAGCGAAAGCAAGGTTCTTCTCTCCTCGGACGTGCGTCTGAGAGGCCGCATTCTGCGCATCAAGGACATCCAGATAAAGCTCGGACAGGCGGACCGTCGAACTTTCGGTCTCGCGCCCAGCTGGACAAACGTCAAGGAGATGGCGAGGGGGTGCAGAAGAAACGTCTGCTCAAACCTTATGACTTGTCAATTCAACTCAAGCGTTTGTGCAGCGAGGGGGACCTTGAAGGTGCCATTGAGCGTTTAAAGTCGACTCCTCGGGATGCTCAGAACGTAGCTGTGTGGAATACAATGATATCAGAGTGCTTGAGCGCTGAACGGTACCAGCTCTCCTACGATTTGTTCATTGACGTGAGTGGGTCTATCCACCGGGTTTGCAACCACTCTTAATAACGGGCTTCTGTAATAGATGAAGCGTAGGGGATTTTCGCCCAACAGCATCACTTTCTCCACGATGCTCAGCGGTATTTCCCTCATCAAGGACTGGCCGAAATACAGCAAGCAGTTGCAGAATGCGCATTCTCTTTACGAATCCTACCTAAAACACATCGAATCCGTCAAATTTCACGAGGCTGACAACTCGAAGGAGTTGTCCCTGCAGCCTCTTGTCGCATACATCCAGATTCTCGGCGATGCAGGAGACTACCATAAAATCTTTGACGTTTACTTCGCCATGGACCAGGAAGGACCTCTCGCACCTGACAGGTTCGTCTTCACTGCGATGTTCAAGGCAATATCCGCACGTCAGAAGCGGTCGGTCACTGGCGGAGAGGCTTCTACTCGTAATGATGCTGCGTCTGATGCGAAGCACGTTTGGATACAGATGGAGAAAGTTATGCAGAGGAATCCTGACTTCTTCTTGGATCCTGGGCTCATTGCAACAGCCATACGCGCCCTTACGCGGGGAAGCCCGAATGATCAAAGTTTTGCATTCACTATTATCCATGATCAATTGGGTCTTTCGAAACCAGGGGAAGATATGCCTAAAAGATTGTCAAATAATCTTAATGCATGGACGTTAGACGCTACCCTCCAGCTTTGCAACTCCATGCAAAAGCATAGACTCACCGTTCACTTCACGCGTCAAATCATGGAAAAGATCAATTGGGACAAAGTATGGATGCGTTACCTCATCGACTCTAACCACATACACAAACTACTCAGAGCGTATGCTGGACTCGCCGCTCTCGGATCGCTCAACGAGTCGAACGACGCTCTTGGAGCATTGGAATGGAGTGTACAGAACGACATAGTTTATCATCTCCCCAAGTTGACGCCGACAGCGCAATCGTACCACCTCGCTCTTATGACGTGCTGCCGCAGCGCAGACTGGCCAACTGCCGTCCGCGTGTATGAACTCATGACAGGCGTCGAAGCCAGTCAATTCGAGTCGGGTGGAAGTCGTTCTCCGACGGTGAAGAAGAGGTCCAAGGGGAAGAACCTGCCGACGGATGTGGAGACCATGTCGTTCCTTCTGCGCACTGCCCTCGCTACCAACAACGTCACTCATATTCAACATGCAATGTGGCTAGCTGACTTTGCGCGCGTTGACGCGCTTCTCAGTGATGAACACACGGCCGCGTTCTACCGGTCTAAACTTGCTTCTACCTTGATGGAGGCGACCAAGCGCCTCCAAGAAGCCGGGGGCCTTACCCAGGAGCAAGAAAAAACCTGGAGCTCGTACAGATCATTGGCACGACAGGTTCTAAAGAGCACGAGAGGTAGCCCAACACCTGGAGTTGAGGAGGAGAGGTTAGGAAACATTCGGACACTCGTTGACATGGACAACTATGTAGCCTTCGAGATGGCATCGCGTAGTACCAAATCGCGCACATGATGCAGGACACTCCGTTAGGAGTTATGTGGCATGACACTGATGAGCAGTGACTATATTATATATACATAGGGCGATAGATCGAGCAGACAGAAAATAGATAAATAGTGTCCGAAGAGAGGTCCGTTGTCCGCGAGACTACTACAGAAGCCCCACAACATTTGCATAAGTACATGAGAACGGATAGAGCACAGTCATGATATAGTGACGGAAGGGGAGTATGAGAGGTGTTATCAGTTCACTATGCGACTGAGTTTGGGCGGTCTCCAGGTCTTGACTCCCCTTTAAAGGCAGGCGATGGAGGAGCGAAAAGTGTGTCTTCAGTTAATGCCATTGAGACAGGTTGATATGTGTGTGGCTCTTGAGGGTTCACATAATCGGGATACCCGGGATACCTTGTCGTGGTAATGTTCATCGGCATGGGACTTAGTCTTCCGGGTGTCTTGCGCGCTCGCGCGCCCCTCCCTCGACGTCTGCACAGCAGGACAAGGGCGACGATGGAAAGAATGACCAAAACGAGAGCATTAAGAGCCATAACGCCAAGCATGGCGGGGAGGTATTTGGAGAGCTGGTCAATAGTGTCTGCTACATCCGTGGACAACGTCACGGTTGTTGATCCGGAATCACCGCTTGAAACGTTGTAAGTAATGTTATTCAGTGGCGTTCCACCCCGGACATCGTGGAACTCCACCGATGCCTGGTCAGGATCGACCAGGGAGAGCATTTGGACGTAAGGGTTGCCCATAGTCCCCATTGAAACGAAGTCGCCAAAGTCGTACACTGTATAGACTGAACGCAAAACGTTGTCGCCTATCAACCAATCACTAGGGAGATGATCACTTAACGATGCATTCCAGAATGATTACCATAGACTTACAATTGGCCAGCCCCAACGGAAACACTTTGGGGTATAAAAGAGCCGACACAGGTTGAAGGATCGCTCAAACTCGTTGGTGAAACGTCGAGGGGATTTATCGGGAAGATTTGATTACTGTTATGACAATGTCGATGACTAAGAAATACGTGATCGAATACAAACACTTACTCAAACTGAAGCGCCATATCTATTTCTGCGTCGCAAGGGACGATCCATTGCCCAAGGCCAGAGTTATACTGAGCCCCAGATACACCGCCATAAATGGATTGACACACATCAGTAGGCGCGTATCTGCACTCCTTGTGAATAAAGTATGTCCGACCATTGACGCAGATGATCACGCACGTATACGACGTTCCGCTATCCAGAAGAACGACTGCCTTGTTCGATGGCGCGCCCTGCACGCCAGTGGAAACTGAATAGGTCTCTGTGCCAACAATGAACGAGTCCAACAACACATTCCAACGCGTTGGAGAGTCTACGGGCCAAGTTGGGATTTTGTTTGTACTTGTGACATTTGAATATTGAGGCTCAGTCTCGCCTGCATTTTGATGCGTCAACAAGTGCATATAAGAGTAACACTACAAAGTTACCAATTGCGAAGCTGCCTGTAACTTGATCGTCATCTGATGTACTCTGCAGGGAAAATGCAATAAAATTGGGTTCGGAAGGATTGTCCTGGAAAAGATTGTAGAGGAGGGTGCGGCCGGTCGACGCGCCAGTGGAGTTCACGAGGGCATCTATACTCGATAATGAGTCAAAACCTAGCCCTAGAATTCCAATAGCTCCGTAGGATAATGCCGGGTTTTGCGCAGACGAGACGTCAAGAAAAGCTTGGGAAGGAACGGATATCCTATTTGAAGTTGAATTAGTCTACGACATGTCACTTTAACACTTACTTACCCTGCAAACTCGGCATTGACATAGGAAACACTCCCATATGCCCAACCGATGCCATACTTTTGCGTTAAGTCAGACCGAAGATCCCTATTCAAGCAGAAATGCGCTTACAGTCAGATTATAGTTCTGGGACTAGTGAACGTAAGTAAACTATGGTCGGAAATAGTGTGTGCCACTCACTGTAATGTTTGCATTAGGGATTGGTGTTGGACTGTTGAGGACCCACAGGTCAGAAGAGCCTAACGAAGACGTAAGATATGAAAAAGGAAAGGGAACGGTAAAAATTACCAGTGTCAAGTTGGACCAGATAATCTGGTTGATCGATGAGTCACCTTGCGATGTGAATGGGGTATGTTACTTACCAACACCACCAAGGGTAACCTAATTACCTGGTGAATAAATTGACATGGCAAGGCGAACGAAGCGTGCTTACATTTGCCATATAAATGAGATCGTGAACGTCACTATCTCGGTAGTCAGTTGGTATGTATATGTTGAACTGGATAATGAAGATATAACTTGCTTGAGAGTAAGCGCAGTGGAGACCGAAGACAGAACTTGTGGGTGCGACACTGAAACGTCTGTGCCACCACTTCGTCGCTGTAAGGTCGTGTGCCTTGATTGAATGAAAGGTATTTTAACAGCCACTGAAACTCCGGCCAGGACTGCCAGAGAAAGAGCCTGTATTAACTTCATGGCAGAAGATGAAAGGAATGACTTTGGCGAGGGCCAGTGTAAGTGCGCTGAAGGAGTGGGCGCAGTCTATGATAGCAACAACAAAAGCCGGGAGTTGTGATATATCAACGAGGCACAAAACAAGAATAATTTTGCATTGACAGGTGTCTATTTTTGGCTTGGTCAACACTACTTATCGTCCACGACCAGCTACGCAGCTGGCTCGATTAGATGCTATAAACCTTGCATATGCATATTGGAATGAGAACCGCAAAGCACCAAATCAAGGAGAATTTCTGAATGATGTAGCGAGTGGTATCTACTTAGAGTCTAATGAAAGATGTGCAGGGTAGTGCAGGGTTGAATGAGTTTTTGCTAAAGCCTGATAAGGAACTGATAGGATGTCCCGCCCTAAGTCCCGCCCCCCATTGAATTCAACGTTGTGCACCAACAGCTGCTTGTAAAAATTATATCATACTATGGATGTGCTCATGAAGTGTGTGTTTATATGATACTGGAGCCTCTTTATAGTCTCTTAGAAGAGTTGTACATGACTACCCCACGTGTATTAATATTACCTCTCACGTGGTCTTCTTCACGCTATATTATTCCGTTGAACCCGTTCCAACGCGGCACCAAATCTGACTTCTGGACCTCCAAGTTCACACCATGGCACCAGCTGCAACGAGGAGTACAATCTTTCGTCTCATCAATGCATCCCAGCATTCAGCATGTCCATGCCATGGCTGCAGATCTGCAACTCATAACCATGCACATCACGGTGCTCTTGCCCTGAACCAACTCAGGAAGTTCGCGACTCCCGTCCAAACTGTCGAAAAGGAGTATGCATTCGAGGTTCGTTCTGTTAAAGAAGCACTATAACTGCTTACAGCTCCTGTTCAGGTTGCAGCATCGAATTTGAGATTTGGAGAGGGTGTCACCCGCGAGGTTGGTATGGACCTCAAGAACATGAAAGCCCGCAAGGTCAGATCGCTTCCCACGTCTTCGCACCATGATCATCATTATCCTCAATAGGTTGGCGTCTTTACGGACCCCATTGTGGCCAAATTGAAGCCCATGCAAGTTGTAAGCAATCTCGTCACACAATTTCGCAGTGCCAATAACGATTTTGATCTTAGGCTTTCGAGTCTTTGGAATCCCAAGAAGATCTTTCATTCGAGGTATATGATCAAGTGCTTGCAGAGCCCACAGAAGAGAGCTGGAGGAAGGCCATCGCTTGGGCGAGACAACATGATTTCAGCCACTTCTTGGCGTAAGTCACGGTCGACCGTGTGTAACCGCGACTCACCATGGTTATAGTGTCGGTGGTGGGAGTGTCATCGACACCGCCAAAACAGCAAACTTGTAAGGCCTATATTTCGTTCATGTTATGTTTCCCTCACACCTTTTAGGTTCACTGTTTACAAGGATGCTGATCTCATGGACTTCGTTAATGCCCCCGTAGGCAAAGGTCTTCCGATCTCCCAGACCTTACGGCCTCTTATTGCAGGTTGAAATGTCTGCATCAATATTGTGTGACTCTCACTCACGAACTTACAGTTCCTACCACTGCCGGTACTGGATCTGAGACCACCGGTGCGGCTATTTTTGATGTCACTTCACGTGCTTTCAAGACTGGCATCGCAAATCGTGCACTTAAGCCTGTCTTGGGCGTCGTAGACACGGCTAACACGGAGAGCTGCCCAACCGCTGTACACATCAGCGCAGGGTTGGATGTGTTGTTCCACAGTTTGGAGAGTTACACTGCCATTCCGTGAGTCTGCACTTGAATTTCGATAGGCAAGCAACAGAGTGATCCTTTAGTTACACCGAGCGGACACCACGCCCCGCAAATCCAATTCTGCGACCCGCCTACCAAGGAAGCAACCCCGTCGCAGATATTTTCTCGATGTGGGCTCTTCGTACCACTGTAAAGTACTTACCTCGTATTGCCAAGGATCGCGGTGACCATGAGGCGAGAAGCCAGATGCTGTACGTCTCCTACCCGTTTCCCACATCACTCTTCTGATTTACAACTAGCCTCGCGGCTTCCTTTGCTGGTATTGGCTTCGGAAATGCTGGTGTGCACCTGTGCCACGGAATGAGCTACCCGGTATGTAGAGCAGATGGCATCAGGAATCAGGACTAAGTAGCTTTCCTGTAGATATCAGGCTTGAACAAGAAAGGCCCGAAGTACAAGCACCCTGGATACGTGGTTGACCATCCCATCATTCCCCACGGCGTCAGGTAATTCAAATACTGACCTTTTGAAAAGACGGAGAATGAACGTGAATCCTGTAGTGTCGCCTTGACTGGACCCGCGGTCTTCCAATTCACTGCTCCATCTTCTCCCGACCGTCATCGTGAAGCGCTTGCCGTTTTCAACGGTGTGACTGTTACCGACCCTTCGATAACAAGCATCCCTGACTCTGAGGTTGGTGCATATCTGTACGAGTCTATTGCATCCTTCCTCGATGGACTCGGTGTTCCTCGTGGACTGAAGGCCGTGGGATACAACAAGAGTGACATCTCGATGCTGGTCGAAGGTACGCTTCCGCAACGTCGCGTTTTGGATTTGGCTCCGAACATCGGAAACGTGGCGGGCGAGGATGGGAGAGAGCATCTGACGAGAATCATGGAGGCCTCCTTCGAGTATTAAAACACGAGAGCTATTGTCACGCTTTGGGATTGCTTTGAAAACGCCTGTGTACATGTATGATACCATCAATTGAAGATACAATCAACTTGTGGTGGATTTAATCTCAGACGCGTTTTCTGGAGCACTTGTAGTTGGCAACTTCTCGGACAATTCCGAGAATGGCTCCTGAGCAACGTCGTAGCAGGTTCCGTCCATGCATTGACCTACATGAAGGACAAGTAAAGCAAATCGTTGGGGGTACTCTTTCGGACCGCAATGATTCGGAATTGAAGACAAATTTTGTCGCAACGTGCGTATACACACTTCGGCCCTTTCTCTGATTTACGAATATCCCTGCAGACAACCTCCAGAATATTTCGCGGGAAAGTATCGTGACAATAGTCTGGAGGGCGGTCATGTCATAAAATTGGGGCCTCGGAACGACGAGGCAGCCAGGAGAGCATTGGCAGAATGGCGGGGTTCGTGTCCATCATATCGTTTTCAGACGATGCTTTTGACCGACGTATCCTTAATTCTAGATCACCTACAGATCGGCGGGGGTATCACCGCTGATAATGCCAAAGAATGGCTTGATGCGGGTGCGAGTAAGGTTAGACAAGCAATACGCGCAAGGCGCCAACTAACTCCTCCCCTAGATCATCGTCACATCCTACCTCTTTCCCGGCGGCAACTTCGACTTGGAGCGTCTGCAGACAATCTCATCTCTTGTTGGGAAGGACAAGCTTGTTGTAGACGTTAGGCATGTCATTTACTTTACTCGATGGACATGAGGATCTCATGACAATTTCAGCTGTCGTCGGCGAGGAGATAAGTGGTTTGTTGCTATGAATAAATGGCAGGATATCACTACGATGGAGGTGAACAAAGGTAAGTAAAGAGTAAAAAACTCTTCATCATCTTTCATGCAATAGGTGCTGAATTTTTCGTGTCCAGAGAATCTCGACATGCTGGCACAGTATTGCAAGTGAGGCTCATGGGCACTCTTGTCTCCGTCGCGATAATCTTTCGTGTTGCAGCGAGTTTCTCATCCATGCAGCTGATGTGGAAGGATTATGCCAAGGTATTGACGAAGAGCTCGTAAAAAGTTTGCGCATCGTTTGATGTTGTCATTTCGCTACTGACTTTTCATAAGAGCTTGGCGAATGGGTGACGATTTCTACCACATATGCTGGAGGAGCTAAAAGTAGGTGGTCAAGTACCTTGGTATATTTCCTCCTGACTCGACGCTTGTTCAGGCATTTCCGACTTGGAAACGGTGAATAGACTTTCGGGAGGACAAGTGGACTTGACGTATGGCAGGTAAGCACGATCCCTTGATGTTTTTAATAGATAACACATTCCGAACACTCTAGTTCATTGGATATCTTTGGAGGGGTTGTAAGCTTTGATGAATTAGTGAAAGCAAGCAACCAGTAACATCAATATGTAGCACATATATTAGATTTTGGAAAACATTATCCGTGACCCACAGGGGAATACCTTTTATGGGCGTGGGAAACGTGGCTCAATAAACTGTATAGTACCACATCGCGTAGCGCCAGGATTAACGAGCCCGTCGCGGACGTACCGTACGACAGCCCCCTCAAGGTAAATATCTAGCCGTTATGCTGTTCGACCATGTTCTTGCAACATCCTGGACTGTTTCCACGCATATTGGTCTCGCTCCGCTCTTTTCCGCATCCATTTGGTCGATCTGTTAGACTCAGTGCTAACCATCTTTTCATTTCACTGTACAGACATCCCTCAAAATGCCCAGCAGCAAAGTTAAGGCCTACGAGCTCCAGTCTAAGTGAGCCCGTAATGCTAATGGAAGATATCGCGCTGATTGCGGAACAATTTGTTGCGTGGCATATATAGGTCGAAGAATGACTTGACCAAGCAACTCAACGAGCTCAAGACCGAGCTTCTTTCGCTGCGTGTACAGAAGATTCTTGGTGGCTCGGCCTCAAAACTCACCAGGATGTACGTTTAGAATTCTTAAATGTCCAATGCGAAAGGACTAACTTAACTAGCAACATTGTGCGCAAGTCGATTGCACGGGTCTTGACTGTGATGAACCAGAAGCAACGCCAAAACCTCCGGGAGTTCTACAAGAACAAGAAATTCCTCCCTCTTGATCTCCGGCCAAAGAAGACGCGCGCGATCAGACGGAGAATGACCAAGGTGCGCAATACACTCGCCATGCAAGCTATACTCTAATTATGCTACATATCTGCATTAGCGCGAGCAATCATTGAAGACGCTCAAGCAAAAGAAGAAGGATATACACTTCCCCATTCGCAAATATGCCGTCAAGGCATAAGCGTGAATGTGCTGTTGGCTGGGTGTGAGAGGGCCCATCATC